GGTTCTTTCTATTTATCCGTCTTCTTTCCTGAGAAAGGTTGCCACTTAAATGGTAAGCCAACGCTTAGTGAGTTAAATAGTTAAGTATTACATATCAATATCGCACATATTTATAAACATACATAATAAACTCTTATCAATAAAAGAGTTCAAGACATCATCCAGATGCAAACCGAAACTTACAAGAAACCGAGTGAACAATTACGTACCGGATGCTAAGATCATAGGATTCTATATTCAAATCACCATCATACACCATACCATTGATGCTCAATACAACAAGGAGACATGATCAACGACCAAATATATTCAACAACGTTAGAATACCAATAATATCAAGAACCAAGAGATCGAATCGGTAAACATAACGAAGACATTGCATCACCCCGTCCTTCACCTCCCGGGCTCATGCCAAAGTCTAAGTCAGAAATCATACATTACGGGAAACCTCGCACTGCCCGCCTTCCTCTACCGGGTATGTGCCAAGGTTCCCTACTCATTGCTCTTCCTTCTTTTCGAGCAATGAGTATTCACAATCGTAGAGAGTCTCACCTGTCCAACCTAGGATCTTGACTTCACCATAAAATTCTGGTGTACCACACGAAGTAGTACACATACTATGGCGTACAATTCAAAGGAACAAAACAACGAGTCTGGATTCAGAAAGCAAACCGATGTACCGAGATAGTAATAAGGAATCGACTCAAGAGACGGAATCAAAGACAAATCAAGATCGTGTGACTCCATTCAAGACCAAAAACATTCATATGAAAATATATATGTTCAAATCAATATGTAACAATTAACTATATAACTCATCGGGCAACCGTACAATAGCGAAAAGCTTCGAATGAGCTCACAAAGCAAGTCCAATCTACCACACTTAGATTGCTTCCAAAGTATCAAAACATGTCCTAATTACCCCCTGAAGTAAATGTACAAAATCTCATAAGCAATCAATATAAGAAACTCATGATATACACATATCCTATTTGAACATTTTACCTAAATTTCTATATACAGCTGCTGCATGCAGAACTGTTTTGCCCATTTTAAACTCGAATTCATGCCTTGATCATAAAATAAGAAGTAAACTAGACTCAAATATCTAACTAAGAAAATTGGCCTCACCTCATTTGGATTTTTCTACGATTTTATACAGATTTTCAAAGTCTGCACACTTTCAATGCATTCTTAAGTCAACATTCTCATTTTCAAACATTTTTCTCAAACCATTTCGATTCCAAATTATTCCAACTTCTGAATCCCAACTTAATATAACATATTTGACATAAACAACCAAAATTCAACCTTTATTTTATCATTTATATTATCTCTCAAATCATTGACTTAATCAAGTCAAAGTTCATATGATGAACTTGTATAAATCTTGATAATCTCTTGAATCTAATGACTATTTCATGCTATAAACACTAAAATGCACTCATTTTACACACTTAAGATCAAACACATATGAAACCCTAACTCTATCTCAACATGCAATCCATAAAACAAGAATGTCAACCAAGAACAAGTGCAAAAAAATAGATTATACCTTACTTGATGATCAAATCCTTCCAAGATCTTGTAGTTCCTCTTTGATTTGAGTTGAATCAAGCCTATGTGTGTGAAAATCGCACCTCTAATATGTGTGTGTGTGTGTGAGTTTTGGACTTAAATGACAAGAAAAATGGCCAAAATTCAATTTATGATGCTAAAACTCGAGTTGGGCCGGTTTGTCCCGGCTAGGTACCCATTTTGACTATCAACACTTAAAATATTCATAACTTTTCACTCGGACCTCCGTTTTCTATGAGGTTTTAGCCTACACGTTCATAAAGAAATAATATATAACATCCAACAAAAATATTCCAAAAAAGATCTCCCAAAAAAATCCGTTTTACGTATCTATTTGACGTGATATTTTCCAAATCCTCTAATATATTCTTAAAAAATATAATTCTAAAACTTCAGATCCAAACTCCCACTAAATCATAAGTTCTCTTTAACCCAATAATTAAATATACTAAGCAAATAATTAGGCATATTAGAAATTGGATGTTACATCTATACAAGTGTGAAATCTATTCAAGATTCAATGAACACTGAAAAAACCTCAGCGTTATTCCAGTGTCAGCGATCAAATGAATCTTGTTGAACAAGATTATTTTTTGTCTTGTCCTTCTACACACAAAGGACAAACTCATACCTTTCAAAGTAAATTACCTATACGGAGTCACTCTATTGTCTCTAAACGTGCTTACTTACTTTGTAAAAGACTACTGTTCAGATACGACAAAAGCCTATATATTTGTAACAAAGGACAAACTCACCTCTAGAATCTTGCCACATGCTTTGTACCATTTGACTTGCATTTAATGCAACAAGTATAAATAGTTGAGAAACTCTTCCTTATCAGAAAACCCACTCAACCAGAGGAAGCAAACTGATGCCAATAATTCTACTTCTTGAATAACAACTCTCTACCTAAGAGAAAGACTTCTTCCTAAGCACAAGACTTCTTAACCTTTTCTTTTAGCAAGTTTTTTCTTTCTTGCTTTCTGTATCTTGTGTGTTTCTTTGATTGTGTTAGATAAGTTCTGTATTTTATCTTTTCCGCAAACAATCTTAAAATTATGTATGGATATTCTTTATCAATAAAGAATTTTAAAAAATGAAAGCTGTTGTGTTTGTATTCACCCCCTCTATAAACTGTTACCTTTAAACTCTTGTAGATTCAGGTGGGATCAACATACTTGGCCGATAATTTGTTGCCTGAAGAAGAAGGGTTTGACATCTTGATGTGGTGGAAGTGCAACGGCTCCAAGTTTCCTGTTGTCCAAAGGATTATAAGAGACGTTTTAACCATATCAATTTCTATGGTTGCTTCCAAGTCTGCTTTTAGCATGAGTGGTAACAAAAGCACAAAATAGCATAATCAACTCCACCCACAAACAGTTGGAGCACTAATATACACTTAAAGATGGTTACAGAAAGAACTTCAAGGTAAGTATTATTTAAATTCTTAATCATAAATGTATTTACATTTTTTCTAACTTGTCTTAGTTTTTGTAGATAAAAAACATGGAGAGCCTAATTTGATGAAACAGTCACATGTGATGCATATGTCGGTTACCAATTAATGGTGTTGGTTTTTTGGATAGTAGATAGAATGTAAATTTTTGTGAAGTCTAAGTGAAAATACAGTTAATCAATTACTTGATATGTTTTAGATATTATTCGATATGAATTTGGTACATTTCACGTTGATTTTGATGGTTCTATTTTAAACTGTTTGCTCTTGTTTAAGTTTTAGTTTAACTTTGATTTAATGACTTTTTCTTCTTTGGTTGCAAATTGCAATGTTACTGTTGTGGTGACGTGGTGGTATTTTTAAACTTTTTGGTAGTATTTTTAAACTTTTTGGTGTTTTTAAAACATTAAAGAAATTCGTTTCTCCGTTGGGGATCCCCTTTCCCCATTAGGTACGAGGATGGAGATGTGACATAATCCCTGGTAGGGACGGGGATGAGGATGGATATGGAGGATTAGAGACGGGGACAGGAATTGGGGCGCCTACCCTTTCCCATGCCCAACGTGTTACACATAAACACTACCAATGAGTATGTCAACCTATCAGGTAGCACACAAAGAATACACTTGTTTTTATCTATTAGAAACTTGAATACATCATGATTGATTGTTAAATAATTACTTGTAGAATGATTAATAATATGTGTAAAAAATATAATATGATAATTATGAGGCATTATGTGTCACACACACACATACTAGTTGTGAACTTGCGCAATTGATAGCTTAGAATCGTTCATGTTCACACAGTGAGCATAAAGTCCCCACAGTGGCGGTGCAAGTGCACACCGACACTATGATCGCTTACCACTAATAGAGTGGTAAAATACTGAGATCGTTTTCACATGGATTGAACTACTGAGGATCGGAGAATTTCATGAACTTCTCGAGCATGTGTTGGTTTGTGAACAAAAGTTTTTGTTAAAGAAAAATTTAAAGAACGAAATAGACTTATAAATAAAAAATGGGCATGGATGTAAGTATTCGTTAAGATAAAAATAACAACATAATGGTAAGAACTTATGGGATGTTTATAAAAATTTCAATATCTCGAAAGTGAATATTTAAATACATAACCCATAAAATTTCACTCTCACAACTCTGAAGCTTGTTGATTTAGCTAGAGAGAAAAAGAATGAAATTCATACTCAAATATCTTTTTAATACAAATATCCAATGCTTGAACCTTAGTTAAATACATACAAAATTTGTATCTCTACGTAATTATCAAAGAAGTAATTAGCTCATAATGGAAAGCATAATATAAGACAAAAAATAAAACTTTCATTACAAAAACAAAAGTCTGTTGCCACAGTGTGATGAGTCTGTATGCAACATATTACAATTAAGAAGCTTAACTTAAGAGTAGGAGTAGAAAGACTTTAACTGAGTTGAGTTAGAAGTAGAGAGACTCTAACAATTTTGCCATCTTAGAATCATAAAGAAAACTCCAAATATAAAGAATTTTTTATCACTTGAGGAAGAAAGAGAAAAATGATTATTTTATTTATAAAATTGAGTTATTATTTTTTTAATAATTTTTAAAATTTTATTAAGATAATAAATTAGAAAATGTTTTAATTCTCAATTCAAAAAAAATTTATAAATTTTTTATTAAAGATGTCATCCAATTCAAACATGAAAATTGAAAAAACACAGACGCCCCTGACCACTGTAACCAATCGGCAATCCGTGTGTAAACCACACATTATATCTGGACCGTTGATTTATTTTAATTCAATGACTGATATTTAGCGGTTCCATTTTAAACTGAATCCGAGTGAATACAATCTCAGCCAATCACAACTCGTCATCTTTAATCCTCCTGACGCTATTAATAAATATCCCCCCATTTTTCATCCATTTGACAGTTACAAAGTTCCCCCTCCCTCTCTCTCTCTCTCTCTCTCTCTCTCTCTCTCTCTCTCTCTCACACACAAACACAAACACAAACACAAACAAACAGTAATGGCCTCTGCTAAAACCGCCATTGCCAAAAAGGCACCGTCTACGAAGAAATCCAAGTCACATCCTCCTTACGTTGAGGTATTTTTCAAAATTTCTTATTGTTTAATTGAATAATCTTAGTGATTGTTTGATAATTTCGTTTTTTAATCGTGTTTATTCGTAGATGATCAAGGAAGCGATTGTAGCGTTAAAAGAGAGGACTGGATCTAGTCAGTACGCAATCGCGAAACACATCGAGGATCATCAAAAGGATTTGCCGGCGAATTTTAAAAAGCTTTTGCTTCTTCAGTTGAAGAAACTTGTTGCAGCCGGAAAACTTACCAAGGTTAAGAACTCGTTTAAGCTTGCTTCTGGGGAGAAGCCGAAAGCCGAGAAGAAAGCTGTTCCTGCTCAGAAAGCTCCGGCGGCGAAGAAAGCAGCGAAATCTGGTAGTCAGGTGAAGGCAACGAAAGTAGTGGCGAAAGCGAAGGCCGTTGTTAAGACTAAAAAGGTTGTTGTAAAGAAAGCTACTCCGCTGAAGGCGGTGGCGAAAAAGCCAAAGAGCATCAGGTCTCCGGCGAAGAAAGTTGCGGCAAAGAAGGGAAAGAAATAAGGTGCATAGTAGTAATAGTAGTCGTATGATGGTGTAAATTTGTAGACTGGTGGTGTTTTTAGGATAATTGTAGTGAAATGTTGGGGTTTGATTTGTTGGCTTGGTTTTAATTAATATATATATATATATATATATATATATATGTTTTATATATTGTGAGTTTCTTGTGAACCATTTCTGTTGCAAATTAGGTCTTGATTCTAGTTTCGTTTTTTCTCTTTCCTTTTTCGGGGAAGCATAAAAAACACACTACCATGTTCTTTGCTATTGCTTAGAGCAACTTCAACTACATCACCATAAAAACACACCAAAAACATCAAATATGATGGGTTTATAAACATTAAAAAAAAAACTCAACTCTAATCACATTTTAAAAAAAATATCAAATTTGTGAATCTTATATTAAAGTAATATATTTTATTTATCGAAAAGTTAATATTTGTAATTATTTATTTATAATTAGATTGAAACAGATTTGTTTATCCGAAACTTAAAAATGATAAATGTCTCATCTAGCATTTATATTGATAAAATTATGAAACCATTTCGTTCTAAAAAAGTAGTAGTTTTTTATTATTCAAAATGTTTTATTATGTTAAATTGATTATAATATGTTTTATTTTTATTATTGATTTATTTTAATGATGGATGTTATTTTTTTATAAAATTTGAATATAAAATTAATATATTATTTTACAAATGATTTTGTTTTATTATTATTACGATATACATGATACATGATATGATTGTCATTAATATTACCACTATTAAAGTTATCATTTTGCCTTTTTTGAGATTATAAAACAAATTTTTATTTTTTATTTTTTTAATTTTCTAATATAACTTAAATTAATCTTGACCATTGATTAAGAAAATGGATGGATGAGATTGGTTTACATGGTTTACACAAATGAGCGATCATCATGCACCTATTTCATGATGCACCTATTTCCTCATTCACCCATTTCATAATCATTTTCACTTACTCTATGCACCAATTTTGTAACACCCTAAAAAAACAAGGTAATTTAAACTGAAAATATATACAACGAGAACCCGAATCTAGAATTAAAATTCACCCAACAAAAGGTAATAATATAACGTTTACAATTCAGCTATTGAGAAGATAAATAATAACTTACTAATCTAGATCATTCTATATCTAGATTAAAGACGGATGTTTTTATCAATCTCCAAAAATATCGTAACATCAAAACGCAACGCTCAAGAGTAACAAAGGCTATAACTCCAAAAGAGCCTTTCACGAACCAACGCTTCTCTCAACCCTTTTTAGCCCCGCCGCTAAAGGAACCTGATAAGCAAGCCATATCAAGAAGAAGTGTTAGGCTACGCCTAGTGAGTCCAGTTAGCAGAATAAAGTAACCAAAAGAACCCATATAAAATTATGCGTCAGCACGTGGTGCAATTTTTAAACATTTAAAAGGATTAGAAGACTTGATAACTCAAAAAGGGGGGGGGGGGGTCAAAACATCCGAAGATGACGGGGGAGTCCCAATTTACCATTGATCCTGACGGAACACAAAGTAAGTCATGGATCAACGTTACAGAGGATCACTTACAGGTTTAATACCATCGACATCAACCTAAGCCAGTCATGTAGTCGGTCGTGATCTTAAGCTCTTTACCTCGAAAATTACATACTGATCTTAATGCCTATTTCCGAGTAAAAATGAGAAGATAGGTTTGGAATTTACATAATTATCACAATGCTTACATCCAAATCATAGCAATCTTCTTACAAGATAATTAAATCAACATTCGCACCCACATTCATTACACTCTAGCATTATGACCGAAAGTGACGTCTTATGCAAAATCTCATTCATTTAATAGACAGTATTACACGTGAGATCTATAACCAAGAATTAATTTCTTATTTCTAAGAAAAGCTCCTCATGCCCATATTATAAAGGTCTTAAAGTTTCTAGGCTGACGCTACACGGAGTATGTGCATTCTAATTAATGAGTAATCAAATTTCAACTCATTAACTAATGGCAACGAAATTTCCAAAAATAATACCCTCTTGACCTATAATTCTCATACCAACTAAATAAGCAATTCATAGAAGTTTAGATATATGGTAAACTAATACTCTATCACAACTATTTGAGGGTTTTCAAAAAAAAGGAAGAGTGAACTCACATAGTGGGATTCAGGATAAATCCCAAAAATCTAGACTGTTGATAGATGTTGCTGTTTGGGAGCAGCACACGTAGAAAACAGCACCTCAGGCTGCTGTTCGTTGCTGCTGCTTGCTGCTCGGCGAAGACAGATGAAGAACTAACCCGGCTGCACCGTGGACTGCTGTATGGGCGAAGACCGGTGAAGAAACAGTACAGCTACGGCTGCTGTTTTCTGTTTCTGTTTGATATGGCACGGCGGTCTAGCTGCTGACTGGTGGCCTGAGAAACAACAGAATACGCAGACAACTTTGCTGCTGCTGTTTGCTGTGTGGCGAGGCACACAGTAGTCGCTGTTCTGGCGTAGAAAACGCAGGAAAACAGCTACTGCTGTCGGCTGTTCGGGCAGACAACACGAAGAAAAACAGCACCTCCGGTTGCTGTTTGCTGTTGGTGATCGGACGAGATCACGCAGGTAAGACCTGCTGCGGCTGCTGTTAGACGATGATTCGAAGGGGCACAACAGCCCTTCTTTCTTGCTGTTGCTGTTTGGACGAGAGAGCGGAAAAAAAAAAAAAAAAAAGGGGACAGCAGCAACTGCTGCTCGTTGTTGCTGTTTGCTGTAGGTTAGCGAAGCACGGCGACAGCCCTTCTTTCCCTTTCTTCTTTTTTTTCTTTTCTTCCTTTTTTCTGCTGTGCAGCCCCTTCCCCTTGAAAGACTAAAAAGTAACTTGCTCAAGATTTTATTAAAAATAACACATGTAACTAACAGACGAGACGAGACGAGACGAGACGAGACGAGACGAGAACTCTTGAGGCGAACGGAGAAGAGAATGGGGAAAAATTACCGGTGTTACAAATTTCACCATGTATGAAATCGATTTCCTCATGCACCCCTTTAATAATCATTTTCACTTACTCCATGCACCAATTTCACCATGTATGAAACCGGTTTCATGAATATTTTTTTTATTCAACTACCGATTTCATTGATTTATTACTCTAATAACTTACGATTTTCATTAATCTTGGCAATAATAAATCGAGACAAAATATAACAAAATCCAATTTTTAATATTATAATTTAATTAAATATTTAAATATTGTTATTTATAAAATTTCCTTTATTATGTTGTATTAATTAAGATTTATTAATAATTTTCATATTTAATAGAAAATAATACAAATGACCAATATGCTCTTAATGATTAAATTTAATTAGAAAAAATGGAAATTTCCAATTGGTCGAAATTAATTTACACCGTTTCTAAAAATTACATGGTGTTCATTTAAACGTGCCTCTCTCTCTCTCTCTCTCTCTATATATATATATATATATATAATATATATATAGGGACTGGTTACAATGTTAACCAAGTTTATTGTATTAACTTTGTTAACCAATCTTGGTTATTGATCTTTGAAATTTGTGGCTAAGATCATTTATGACATAAGGTGTAATTAATTGCATACATAGATAAAGTAACATAAGTGAACAATATTTACAAGGGTATTTTGGGAAAATATTTTAGTTGTCCATTAATGACAATGAGATGTTTTGTAACTGTCCATTAATAACAATGTAACCATCCGAGAATTAATCTCGTAATCGAATCAAAACCAACAACAATATCCTCGACACCAGATTCTACAGTTTTTTTTGTCAATGGTTCATATGTGAACAAGTATTCGTGGGAATTGTTCAGGTGTAAACATGGTGTATATGGAAAAAAGTCGTAAATGACACAAGTGTGCATATATGTCAATCTATGTTTGTATTTGACACAAGGGTTCATATATGTCAATTTGTGTTCGTAATTGACACAAGAGTTTATATATGTCGAGTTGTGTTCATATGGTTGTACGAATGTTAATATATATGAATTTGTGTTCATATGGTCACACATGTTCATCATCTTTCGTATGTTCATTTGTGTCAATATGTGTTCATATTTATACCAACTGTACATATATGTCAATCTGTGTTCGTAATTGACACAATGGTTCATATATGTCAATTTGTGTTCATAATTGACACAAGGGTTCATATATGTCGAGTTGTGTTCATATGGTTGTACGAATGTTCATATATGTCAATTTGTGTTCATATAGTCATACATGTTCATCATTTTCCGTATGTTCATTTGTGTCAATATGTGTTTATATTAATACCAACTGCACAAATATGTCAATCTATGTTCGTAATTGACACAAAGGTTCATATATGTCGAGTTGTGTTCATATGGTTGTACGAATGTTCATATATGTGAATTTGTATTCATATGGTCACACATGTTCATCATCTTTCGTATGTTCATTTGGGTCAATATGTATTTATATTTATACCAACTGTACATATAGGTCAATCTGTTTTCATAATTGACACAAGTGTTCATGTATGTCATTTTGTGTTCATAATTAACACAATGGTTCATATATGTCGAGTTGTATTTATATGGTTGTACGAATATTCTCAAATTTTAATTTGTATTCATATGGTCACACATGTTCATCATCTTTCGTATATGTCAATTTGAACGATATCGAAAACTTTACTACCGGGTCTCCTCCACCAATCCCAAATTCATAAACATTAGAGATAAAAAATCATTATTAAAAAAATAACAAGATTAATAATAAGTTAACACAAATTATGAGATTTTATGATTTTGTAACTTCCAATTAATGATATAGGAGTTACATAAGTGAATGTTTAAACAAGGAGCAAAAACTGACTTTTGTGGTTTCTGTTACTTGATTAAATCAACTGTAAACCTCACACACACCTACTTAATTAAGTAATCCTACATATGCATACGATCACGATCACGATCACGATCACGAATGTTGCAGAGAAAAGTAAAAAATAGCTTACATGAAAAGATTATTGCTTCAAACCTTTCTACATTGTTTTGTCAACTAAAACCCCAACCTTTTTCTGTCCTCCAACTTGGAGGCCAACTCCTCTTCTATCGGAAGCCGACGTCTACTTGTCAACATCGTCCGCCACCAACCTATTAGTTCATCCTGTAACACACCAATATCAAGATTTCCCTACCTATTTCATAACAAATACAGAAAGAAACCCTATGTGCACAATATGTTACATATTTACAGCATCGATGTGCAAGATTCTTGATTGTTCAAAAATTGCAAAAGTTTCATAATTTACCTCAAGAAAATCGCAGTTGGAGATATATCGGCTTTCAACCAAGCATTCCACACCTCCAATGTTGACACAAATAGGCTTCTTGGACCCTTTTGATGGATTATCATCTTCACAATATCATTGTAAATCACTTACTTATTAACAAATGTAATGATTCAGAATCACAATCAAGATTTACACATGCAGACTAGATGATGGAATGGAAACCATACCAGTTATGCAACCAACATAGTACCCTGCTCCCCCTACTCCCTCTTCACATTTTGCAAGCTTCAACCGTAGGAAATATCCGTCTAAGCTTGAGATTGGCAAACGGGAATTCATCCATCTAATTAAGATAACATTCACATAATAAGCTAGCTACAAAATACAAAATATTATGGTGAAGACAGAAACGAAAAAGTCTTACTTGAGGATATCTGTACGAGACAGCCTAAGCCTCCTTATGGTGTCAAACATTTTTTTTGGTATTCCGAGTATCTTCCCAGAGCTTGAAGCAGGATGCTTTGAAATTTCATTGAAATTTGATACCTTCTTCTTGAACAAGACATTTCCCTTCTCTTTCAGCTTCAAGTTCAAATCAGACCAGCTTTCCTTGGTCTTATAACCCCTCTTCGATGGACAAGCAGACGCCCAATGGTTGAGCTGAAAGCATTTGATACATAAACATGGAGCTTCTTTAGCCAGTCCTTCATATAATCTAATGTTCTTCATAAAACCCTCCACTTCTTTCTCATTTATCTGTATACAATCACGTAACTCATGGCCTCTTTTGCCACAAAAGAAACAACTTGTCTTTGAGTGAACCATTGGTCTAGTGTGCTTGAGAACATCTATTGAAGTCTTTAAAGTTAATGCTACAGGTTCCTCCAACTGCTTCAAGCTAACAGAAGCAGAAGCCTCATCAGTGGATGAATCTCTGGCCACAAAACTTCTGAGGTCTGAGTTATTTGAACTTAACAAAGTGGAGGGTGTTTTTGGAGAAAAACGAGCGATCCACAAGTTCCCAAACGCTTTTTGGTTCAAAGTATCATCTGGGACATGGTTGGATACCGTTTTGTCGAACAAGATGACTTCTTTAGAGTCACCAATGAACTTATTCTCTATCTGTGTTGTTGTTTCAAGTCGTTTTGCATCTTGTGAATAGAGAGACTGAAAAACAGTTTGAAATCCCAATTTTTTGGTAACAAAATTCAAGGTTTTGTCACAAGTGTCCATCTTCTGGTCATCATCAATCGGATGGCCTAAGCTAAGAGCAAGAGAATGACCATGACCCTCTTCTTGACATGGCTTTATACCCTTGACCATGTTTGAAATCCAATTCATGAAAGAACTATCTTGTTTTATCACAGGTGTTGAGAATGGACATCCTTGACTTTGTTTCTTGATTCTTTTACTTCCAATAATCAACTGCTGTGAAAACCTCCATCTCTTATTCCCTTTTGACAATGAATTAGCACTGTTGCAACTCTCCATGCTTCCATGGCTTTTATTACCTTCTTTACATGATTCCTCTCTATTTTGGACTCTCATCCTGCTGTCACTCGAGGGAGCTTCACCTGGAACCAAATCTCTCTCTACATTCTCCAAGATAGCATCTTTAGCGATTAGATCCTGAACATCATTTTCAGCAGTTTCTTCCATCTTTTCAGGAGAGCTACCACTTCCATTCGAATCATCTTCATCCCTTTTGACATGTACTGTTGGTTCTTTTATTTCCAAAGGCAATCTAATATTCAGGCCCAATCTGTCAGTACCATCACCAATATTTTCAGTCTTGCTTTCTAATAGTGGCAGAAGATCAGCAGTTCTTTGGTTGTGTGGACCTACTAAAACCAAGAATTCAATTGAATGTATAAATGAGCTTATGACACTCAGAAATTTTCGTGTCCCATTGATCTCAAAAGCCACATCATGCATAATTTGAGAATAAAAGATGTAACGGGAATCATGAAAAGTAAGAAAGACAGATTGTTATTGCACCTTCACTGGTTCCAGCCACATTGCCAACCAATATGCTCTTTAAGTTGGTCAAAGACTCTGTTTCCTTGCCCTTGCTCTCCATTTCGATGAACTGCACACACTTCATTTCATCAACATTTTCATCTGTTTTTGAAAATAAACCTCTCAATACGATACCCTTAATCAAAAGAATACAACCAAGAAAAGGAAAATTGATCCCTGAATCGCACATTTTTCATGTTGAGATGATGGAACATCCTTATAAAGACAGCAGGGGTTGTTGTCAGCAAAACAGGTGCTGCAGTCAGCACACTTGATGCTTAAACCATTTTGTGTAGACCAAACCAACTCAGGTAACGGACAGGGTCGCACAAATGTCTTGTTATCTATTCTTAACCTTGAATTTGCATTTGAACCTGCACCTGCACCTGCACCTGCACCTGATGACTCCACCTGTTGTTGGTTACTACTACCAAGAGCAAGCCCCAAATTAATTTCACTCTCATTCGCCATTACTCAAATATTAACAAATCCTGAAATCATAAACACCCTGTCAGTGGTTCCTTTCGAACACCCATTTCAACCAGAAGCCCGTTGGTCAATAAGGTTATGATTTAACAACAATGTCTATGATCACATTATCAAGAAGCACACAGATGTTTGTCGTTTTGACTATTTATTCTCCTTTATTATCACCCTCAAGAATCCAGACTATATGAAAACAAAACATCCATTATTTTAATCTTAAACCAGCTCATACATAATAGAGTTTAATCATCCGAATTGGAAACCAATCATCACTTTATAGAGAGCAAGAGTTGTAAAACTAATGGTTACAGAATTCAATCATCCTCATGATGATGCATGTCACATTTCATTACCAAGAAGACCATGAATTTGCTTAGAAGGGTTCAATTCTAACCGAAAACTTAAGGTATATGGACTTCCATGCTAATTTATCAATCATTTTGACAAAAAATGGCAAAAATTAAAACTGGAAAATAACTAGGTTGACTTGAGACAGAAAAAACATATTCTTATTCTGAATGGAACCTAGAAGTGACATCAAGTTGTGTAATTATTCTCCAACTGAAAATGACAAGCAGTCTATAATTCCATGAAACTTAACCAAATTATTGGCATAAACAATCAAATCAACTTGAAATTCTAAGGATTTGACTTCATTTTCTTATGATTGGACTTTATTGCATTTGAGAGAGATCAAACTTTGACCTTCGACATTATAAATCATAAAGCTATCAGAGAAGAAACCCCGTTGGTCTTAATTCTATCGTGCTGATTGATACCGACGATAATTGATTACTACATCAAGTTATTGAAGATCATCAAGGAAAAGGTCAAAATATCTATGGAGATTTTGAATTCGGAGACAATTTTGTCTGAATTTCAAAATCTACGGAGGAAGTATCAACATCCAAACTCATAGCCTTAAATTACTCCCCAAAATTAAACCAAAGAAATTGGGATGAACAAAGAAAAACACCAAAAATCATCATTCCAAATTCAATTAAACGAAAATCCAATTGAGCATGAACAAAATTAAGTAAAACCCATTTGGGTATAAACAGAATTAAGAAAACCCCAGTTACCAAAAAGCCATGAAACCGATTCAACTATTTGAAAACTCAATTTGTTTACCTTTTTGTTTTTGGTGTTGAAGCTGAATCACTTCATCCAATAAACCCAACCCCAAAATGGAATGCCAAGGTTTGTGGATTACTACAAATGGAAGAGAGAGAGAGAGAGTGTGTTTATAGATGTGCGGTTGGATACATAATAGTAAGCTGTTTTCACTTCAAGTTCCAATTGTACACACAGCTGTTTTGCCATTGTGGCTCAAGATCTGCCACGTGGAAACTTCTGTATAGAGCTTGCTTTACTTTTAAAACAGAATATTTCATCCTTCAACATTCTCCCCTTCGAGTTCTTTTTTGGTTATTCCTTCCCCATTTCCTAAACTTTTCATTCCTTTCAAAGTTGGACTTTTAATTACAATCGAGTCAAATGTTTATTCCTTTTTCCATGTTAAGAAATGTCTGAGATAGAGATTATTTGTTTACCTTTTAATAGTTTTATTAAAAAGTAACATCTGAATCGTTAATAGATAAATCTTGTTTGACAAAAAAAAAATCTGCTTCTTAATAGTTCTATAATCCTCTGAATGATTTTGTATCATGACTCTCCCTTAACCATTTAGCGCCCTAATTTCATTGTAAACAATCATCAAATAATTATATTTCATTTTGCACTATATCATAAGAGCCTATTAATCATTCTGCACCAAACCATTCAGCAACTACCAAACAGCCCCATAATATGAACAACAAATACTATCTAATAGCTGATCAGATTATTCAATTAGCAATATATAGCAGGTGGGGATTAGTCGGCTTGCATAGCGGGTTGGATATCCAGATTAATCAATATATATAGCAAGTCTTTGGATATTTGGATGCCCTCAAAAGTGACGAACGCATATTTGAGATTCTGAAATCTAACTCCGACAAATGTTTGTAAATAAGTGGTTGGGTTTGTCTCATGCTTTTAGTAATTGTATTCGCAAACCATATGAAGAGTTGTTATGAACTGACTGATTCTTGAAAACAAATTCAAACTTGTATATATCTAAGGAAGCGTTAGGTTTGTAAGGTATTCAATCAAGTTTGATCACTCGCTTGGTTGATAGGAAATGAAATAAAATCTTTCAAATGAATTAATCAGTTTGGTTCATAGAATATAAGCTACTCTAGCAGAATAACAAAAGTATGTATTAAAAGTGTGATTATAATAATTATATGGTTTTATGTGTAAATGTATTTTCATATACTTTTATTATGATTAATAAAATTAAAATAAAACCTAATTTAGGCTTATAGATAAATGGGCTTAAGGATAATCATAAGCTTGACAATGATTTGGGTATTGTGGTTTGTCTATAATTTAAATATGTTGACTCTAAATAAAGTGTTGGCCTCAGTCGAAAAGGTTAATTAATCTTTTAGGTTTAGAGATTATCAGAAAAAAAAAAAAAAAACAGAAAAGGAACATTTTCTTTCTTTTCTGTACCTCATACTAGATTTAGGGTTTTAGGCTATCACCCTCTGGAGGCCAAACTTGTTCGTGTGTGGATCTACGATAGAGGAAACCTACTTTGGTTTCTAAGTGCTCCGTCAAAATCTGCATCAAATCTAAATGGTAATATTTTAAACACTCTATGGTTTGTTTAGATTCGTTTAGAAGTTGTTGTACCCGGTAGAGTTTCTTTAGAAAAGTTTTCTATATAAGTACCCTAAAATATTTCCCGTTGTGTTTTTATCAAAATGTTACTTATTCATTTTGAAACCCTACAAATATGATGGTTGAAAACACCGCGTTAATCACCCTCATGTAACTGGGTTGATAGATACAGATAATGGATTTAAACCATATGGACCAATTTCTTTAAAAAGGTACAAGCCACCGTTTCTTCTACGTAATAAATGAAGTTTAAGGATCAAACCCATAAAAAACCCACATACCACAACGACCAAATCTGTAATTTACTTTTGATTTTATTACAAATAGGTTTAATAGTTTGTTCTTCTAGCCATCTGCGTAACACCTGAATCTTTTGAATATAAATATTTTGAGTTTTGCATTAAGTCTCGATGTTTGATGTAGATTTACAAGTGTTTTAGTTGGGAAAGGGTGTTGATAGAATCCCATGCATGAAAACCTAAGAAATGGAAGTGTTCTGGCAACTTTGTGGTAGGCATGGTGATTTGCCTTGACCCGATGAGGAACCCGGTCCACCCGATCCGATCACGATTCTCCGTTAAACCGGGTACTGGGGATCCCCTACTAGACTAAAACTAGGGTGGGGCTGGGTGATTATTCGCTATCTTGTAATCGTTGATTCTCTTTGGGTATAATTCTTTATTTTTGTGTTATCTTCGGGTTCTTTACTGAGGTTAAATTTAATGCTACTTCCTAAAATTTTAGGCGTGTTAAAACAAAAACTAGTATGAAAATACTAAAAAAAGCACAAAGCACCAACCATACAATCTCTAAAGAAACACATAGTGACTATTTCAATTATATTGAACTACGTTGCGTGGTGGCGATAATATCATCTTCAAAAGGAATGTTATAGACTAAAACTTGAAGTTATCTTCTAAACAAATTTTAGGAAAATGTGTGCGTCAACTACTCATTAACATTAAAAGTTTTTAAGAGAAGTTGACAACAATCTTAAAACCATATGCTAATTTAGGTTCTCTAACAATGCTCGAGAACGCTGTTGCAATGTACTCTATAAATGTTTGACTAACGTTAGTAGTTTGTTTAACTTGAAATCACATTTTTTTATTGAAATCTCATATAAGGTGACAAAGTCACGATTTTAATTTTCATAACAAATTTAATTGAAATCTCATTTGAAGTTATGAAAAAAAAACATTTTATAATATTAGTGAAAATTTGAGCAGTGCGTAAGCTGTAGCAAAAGTAGTGGAAACTCAGGATGATGCTAAAGAACCACATCACCAAGCTAAGATAATGAATGTTCTCCCGTAAAACAATAAAACTAATATCAAGTGGGGTCGATGACCCACATATCAGATATTAAACTGATAAAAACAAATACTACACTTTACCGTAACATTCTATAAGATTTGAATTGTAAACCAGAGAGGTGTTGATAGTAGTAACATCAAGACTACGGATAAATAACTAAATCACCAAGTAGTATAACAAACATTCTCATATAAAAAATAAAATACCATGTAAGATAAATAATCATATATTAGATATCAAACTAAGAACATATAATAAATTTGATTTAAACAAAAAACCTAAAATTTAGGACAAATATATAAATTAAAAACATGTGTTATATTTGATCTTAAACAAAAGGTCGAGATCCGAGAAATATATGTTTGTTCCATTTTTAATCGTTTCTTTTTGTAACAATATCCCTCGTCACTTTCATTCCATCATCCAATGTGGGATGCAAGCAATATTAAGCAAAAAGTTGGTCATTTTCTTTTTGTATACACCTCCCACATGTCTCTTTAATTCTTTGATCCAATGTGGGATGCAAACAATTATGTGAGAAAAAAATGATTTATAATGCTTAGAAGTTGTCATCAGATTATCCATGGTTATTGTTTTTACATGGATAAAAGTAAAGATATATAAATATTATAGATATATAAATATTGTTTTTACAACTATAACTTCTACCAATTTTATGGTGTTGATTTATTGTCAACTTTATGTTATTTTAATATAGTTTTTGGTATATAAATTTTTTATAAAAATGGTTGTCCAAAAAATAGGTCAACCTAAAAGTTGCACAAACTCTCTTAGTTTTGAAAGATATCTAACTTTTTTTAAATATTCACTCATTTTGTATTATTTGGTTGAGTTTGATTTCAATCATGGTTATATATTTTGTATTATTTGTTTGGTTCCTCTTTTAATATATTATATTGAYATTGACATTGATTGATGATTGATCTCAAATTCATTTTTTTATTCTTTCAGATACTTACCTCCATCTTCGAATATATCACATTCTCATGGACTTACGGCAATACCTGAACATGTTGCTTCTTTATATATATGCTTATTTTATTTTACTTATAATTATATAACCAAGTTTAGTTATAATAAATATAATTGTAGATTCAATTTCAATTATAACAAACTAAAACAATCAAAAATTTGTTCGTTATATTATTTTAAAGTTTTTAATTCAACTTTATAATATATATATATATGTATATATATATATAGTAAATTCATATAATTACTTTTTGTTGTCATTTTAAAGTCAACTGATATAAAAGAATTTTTAATATGAATAGGATTTTTGCAAAAATAGAGGAAAGTTAAAAGGGCAAATTGCATGAAAAAGTAACGTACTTTAACTTGATTCATATTTTGGGTAATATACTTTCAAAACTTATATTTTTGTACCTAAGATGTAAAATTTTAAACATTTAAGTACCCGGATAAACGGTTGAAGCATTAACCAGTTATCATATTGATGTGTCGATTGATGTGGTATCCAACTCAATATTATTTGCTAACATGGTTAGTGGCATGATTTTTTTTTAAATCTAAAATTACTCTTCAATTGGTTATTCGGGTACTTAAATATTTAAAACTTTACATCTTAGGTACTAAAATAAAAGTTTTGAAAGTACGTTACCCAAAATAGGAATTAAGTTAAAGTAAGTTAAAATGAACTAACTCTATTATTTAATGCCATACCTGACCCTGGGCATGTACAGCCCGTGCAGCCGCATAGGGCATTAAAGCCCAAAGGGACATCAAATTTTTGTATGGACTGTAAGATTAGTTTTGAGTTTTGGGGCTTTTGGGTTTAAAAATTTAAGACTTGGCATTAAATATTTAATTATAAACAAGCCCTGGCCCAACTCAATGACAAACCCAAAGATTGAATCAGATGCATACAACCACATTTCACCAAATCACAATTGACGATTGTTGTGCCTGTTTATTAGACAATTAAGTGTGATATATATATATATATATATATACATAATTATATTAGAGGGTCTAGAGTGTAAATGTATCTCTTATATATATATATATATATATATATCCCTGATTGTAATCGATATACAATACACAAATTACCAAGTTTATCTTGGTATCAGAGCCGGCCTTAGACACCCTACAGCTGTTGCCCTACGACTGCCGCCCTACTGCTGCCATCACAAGGCAACCCTAAAGCTACCGCACCCGTCTTCTACCCTATGGCTGCCGCACCTTTTGCCGACCACCCTCTGCCGTCACAAGGCAACTCTAAAGCTACTGCACCCGTCTTCTATCCTACGGCTGCCTCACCTTATGTCCAATGACAATTGTTGCAGCTTTCACTCCAATCGAGAAAACCACCCATAACTCCCACAAGTTTGGCTTCACTTTATCACCAAACAACTATGGCTATTGGAAGGCAATAGTTCAACCGTTCCTTGTCACAAACAACTTGTTCGGCTATGTTGATAACGCTTCTTCTAATGATGCAATGGTTGATTTTTTGAAGACTGAAATTGATTTGGTTTGTGAAGGTGAATATTTTCATGTTAGGTGTTGCACACACATTATGAACCTAATTGTACAGGATGGATTGAAAGAGGTTGATAACGCTATTATAAAGGTTAGAAATACTGTGAAGTACTATAAAGGTTCACAATCTATGAGGCAAAGGTTTTTAAGTAGTGTTGCACATGTAGAGCTACAATCTTCAAGGCGTTTAAGACAAGATGTTCCCACTTGATGTAACTCGACTTACATTATGTTGGATTCAGTTTTGTACTATAAAAAAGCTTTTATTCATTTAACGAAAACTGATGCTAATTATTTGCATTGTCCAACAAGTGATGAGTGGGGAATAATTGAAAGGACTTTCAAGTTCTTGAAGGTTTTCTACGAGGTAACTTGTGCATTTTCTGGCTCTAAATATACTACTACCAATCTTTATTTTGCTAATGTTTTGACGGTTAGAGTGTTGTTACACAAAGAAAAAGACAATGATGATACTTTCATGAAAAACATGGCTAGTCGGATGTATGAGAAGTTTGAGAAATATTGGGCTAATTTTAGCATAATTATGACATTTGCGGCTGTTTTGGATCCTCGTTATAAATTTCAGATTGTTGAATGGGGTTATGAGAAAGTTTATGGGCACGAGTACAAATCTAAGTTGGCAATAATAAAAAAGAAATTGTTTTCATTATTTAATGAGTATGTGGATGAGTCACATTTGAATAAAACCAAAGTTGGTCAACCTAAGAGTAGATCGTTGGACTCCCAAGAAGGATCTCAAGATGTGCTAGATGTGGCTTCTGCTTCACTTATGATGGTATATACATTTACTATTTTTTTTCTTTTATACTTTTTTTGATTTATGCTATTTATCTAATATCTTTTTGTTATTTATCAGGACTTCGATACCTTTTCAAATAAGGTAACTTCTCAAGCCGTAAAATCTGAACTTGAATGTTATTTAGAGGAGAAGCTCATGCCTCGTGCGAACAATCTAAACATTTTGGACTATTGGATAACTCATGAGGTTAGGTATCCAACTCTTGCTCGGATAGCTAGGGACATCTTAGCTATCCCTATCTCAACAGTGGCATATGAATCTGCTTTTAGCATTGGCGGTAGGGTCCTTGATGCTTATAGAAGTTCATTAAAGTCTTCTACAATTAAGGCTATTATTTGTCTAAGAGATTGGGTATATGGAGAAAGTTTGTTCAAATTTATTATTTGTATATTTCCTCTTATCGTATAAAACCATATATTTGCTGCAAGGCTATAACTAAGTTAATAATTTAATTTATTTTTGTAGTACAAGTGGAAGCGCATCTTGAGGCGCGATGTGGAGCAATCATGACAGAAAAGATAGAAGATCAAGAAGAAAGTAATACCGATAGTGAAATTGGGATTGATGAAAATGGAAGTCAAGTTGCTTAAAATTTAATTAATTTCAACTTATTTTGAACAATATATTTGTTGTAGTTGTGTTTTATTCAGACTTTGAACAATTTAGTTGTATTTGTGGTTGTGTAATGTTTTATTAAAAAAGTTAAGTTTTCATCTATGGTTGTTTATAAATTTTTGAGTATATTACATTTTCATCCCTATGGTTTGTTAAAAATTCTAATTTTTCTCCTTATGGTTTAGATATTGCGGTTTTTGTCCTTATAATTTGTAAGCCATTGCTATTTTCATCCTTATAATTTATTGTCGTTTCAGTCCTTGTAGTTTATAATTCTTTACTATTTTGATCCCGTGTACTTCAAAAAGTAAGAATTAGTTCAGGAACGAAAACAACAATAAATTACAAATCACAGGGACGAAAACCATAATCTCTAAACCACAGGGATGAAAATCGCAATTTTTAACGAACCATACGGACGAAAAATGTAAGTTACTCTAATTTTTTTTATCAAATTGTTTTGTATCTTCTTTTTAGAAGGGTAAACATAAAACGATGTTTCAATATACAGCCAACGGTGAGGTTATGTGGCTAAAATCTAGGAACTAAATGCAGCTTGAGATGATACATTAACATTAGACAAATTGGCGAGGGTTAACGCCAATACCTTCACCCCATTTGCTATATCTTCAGGAGCTGCATATTCCTCAGGTTTATGGCTGTACCCTGCATCACAAATTAATAATAAAACCTTTTATTGTTAATTATATAGAGGGAGGTTAAGGAAAAAACCTTAAAAAAATTGAAAAACTTAAGAACACACTGTTATAAATACGTGTGAGGGGACCTGGTGGCATAAGGAAGACGTGTTCTACGACTTAGGCCGCGCCAAAGGTTGTATACGTCTATGATTTAGCATCACATGTGATGGTCTTGATGGATTATAGTATCATATCAACAACACCCTTATCACATGTGATAATACATGTGAGGGGACTTAGTGGTGTAAGGGTGACTTGGCCGGCAACCAAGATCGCGCCGAAAATCGCCGGCGTCTCTAATTTAGTATCACATGTGTATCATATGTGATGAAATAATAGAATCACATGTGATTCTCTATTGTAAAAGGGTGTTCTCGCGTTCTCGTAAAATAAATGTGTTCTCGTTTGAACCCTTCCCTATACATATATATATCTATAAATCCTAATAAATAAGTAACTTTTGGGACACGTGTCATGTTTCTGTACGGCGGTTATTGATTTTTCCCGTCTAAACATTATCTAGACACAATTTCACTTACGGTTCAAATAGGTCTATTTAAGTGACATGTGTCCCACTACACGTTTATTTTCCTTTTTTCGTGGTTTAACTGATTTCCCAGACTAAGTAGAAATCTCTGATATGTTTTCTGTAGTTTTAAATCTGGAGAAGAGGACTAAGATATTCATCTTCCAGACTAATTTGAGGTCTTGCGGGAAAGTCTGAACCATGTGTGCATTCCATGGGAGTATAAGAATAAGAGGATTTGCATGTACTATGCAGAGACTCTGTGTCAGATACAGAGCCTCTTAGTCTAGAGTGAAGCTCTGCATCAAGCACTTAACCTTTTTGGCGCTGAAGCCTTGATCTTCCTCGGAATACAGCATGGGCTCTGTATATGAGGCACTTAACTCTTGAGTAAGAGCTCTGCCTCTTGATATATTCCAGATTTTTGGCTCCAAACTTACATGAAGAGGACTAAGATATTCATCTCCCAAACTAATTTGAGGTCTTGCGGGAAAGTCTGAACCATGTGCGCATTCCATGGGAGTATGAGAGTAAGAGGCTCTGCATGTACTATGCAGAGGCTCTGTGTCTGATGCAGAGCCTCTTAGTCTGGAGTGAAGCTCTTTATCAAGCACTTAAGCTTTTTGGCGTTCAAGCCTTGATCTTCCTTGGAATACAGCACAGACTCTGTATATGGGACACCTAAATCTTGAGTAAGAGCTCTCTCTCTTGATGTCTTCTGCATGAGAGTTGTAAGTCTGAATTTAACTCTAAAGTGGCCTCCAGACTGATAACATAACTTTGGAAAAATTCAGAGTTGTAAGTCTGAATTTAACTCTGAAATGGTCATCAAAACCAGGTTTAAAATTTCAAATTCGGATTTTTGAAGCATTTTTCACAAAGCAATATTACCCGGGGAAAAAATTCCAAGCTAACTTGGCAGCTCGACCCCAGCCACCCCGCCACCGGGGGCACTGCCCCCGGACCCCGTCGTTTTGGGGCTTCACCCCTAAATCAAAATAAACTCAAACATAACTCTTAATTGTTCTATTCCAAACTTAGTTCTATAGTTTGGTGACACGTGTCATGTTTCTAAGTTATAAAAAGTCAGAATTCTTGTGACTCAGAGTTATGCTCATAGATAATTTCTAGACTTAGAAAACAACTCTGAATTCCTCTTATTCAGAGTTAAGTCCAGAGTTATTTTCCAACCTAACAATAGAACTCTGATTTTTTGTGTTTCAGAGTTAATGTTCAGAGTTTTCTTTTATACCTGAGGAAAAGTCTCAACTCATTTTCCTCATTTAAAATACCCCGTGTAATACACGGGGTCAAACCTAGTATATATATAAAGAGGTAGGTTCATACAAAAAATTATACCTATTTAAGAAAATAAGAAAATTGCCAAACTACGTACAAAATCACATGCGATTTTACATTAACGTCCAAAAAAGTGTGCACACAACCCTATGGCTGTGTGGCAAAGTCACGTAAATCACATGTGATTTTGTAAATTGATGATAGTGTAAAATCACATATGATTCGGCCATTTTTTTATTTTCTTAAATAGGTACCATTTGCATATGAATGCAAATGGACCTGACTCTATATATGAATATATATATATATATAGAGAGAGAGAGAGAGTGAGTGTATTATACCTTTATAACATGGAATGAAGATCATTCCCATAGGTGCTTTTCTGCAGTCAATGAAATATCATATTTTTAAGAAATTGTTTCTTTTTTCTTGAATTGGCATAAAGAGTGAATCAATTTCTACCTGGCCATAAAGAGTGAATCATGATAAGCTCTACTGATCATCTTCTTGTAACTCAAATTCAGTACTTGGGTTGCTGATTCCATTGCTTTGATGATGGAGTCATCAGAGCAGGCAGGCGGATCCTGGTTTACAATTTTAAACTCCAAAACCTCAACTCCTCTCCTTTTCGATATCTCCACAGCAGATTCATGGATCTTTTCAATCACATTGTTTCTTCGTTTTTCATCAATGTCTCGTGTATCTGCAGTACCAATTAGGATTAAAATATAAGCTTTTTTTATCCTGCATGAAATACATAACAAGAACAAATCGAATTTCTGATGCATACCTATTTCCACATGTGACTTGCTAGGAATGCTGTTGATTGCTCCAGGATGCAGCTCCAGGATACCTTCAATTCAAACTAAACCATTTTAGAGGATGTGTCATATTGTTATCCATTATACACTATTCGGGTAGAGAGAAATTTATTTTTAAAATTTGGAAAAAGAAGGAAGGTTACCAACTGTCCCAACAGTGTCTATGGATCGAGACTCCAAGACATGCTTTTCCACAGCTAACGCCAACTCTGCAGCAGCCAGTCCTGCATCATTTCTGTTCCAAATTGTTAGAACTGATAACATCAATATTGGAATGAAGAGGAAGTTTTCTGTGTATTCATAACAATGTCAATCTTACTTACAAGTTACAATCGAGAAAGAGAGAAGAATTATATATAGAGAGGGAGGTTCAGGAGAAAACCTCAAAAAAATGAAAAACTGAGAACACCCTGGTAACTATTCATCTGGACGGTATGTACATGTGCATACTGGTAATTGAAGTTGTTTCTTGGTTTTTATGCACGTGTGCATGTTATGCACATGTGCATACCAGACAAATTGCTTAAAATTACCGGTATGCACATCCAGATGAACGGTTACCAGAGTGTTCCTCAGTTTTTCAATTTTTTTGCGGTTTTCCCTTGAACCTGATCCTATATATATATATATATAGGGAGGTTATTTTACAACCTTTCCCATTCCTACACCCAATACAACCATCATCTCATCCCTTCAATTCTTAATTTATGGTCAAGATGCATTGGATGGCAAAATTGTAATAAAAGGGAAAACTATATGCACGCGCCTGATAGATTGAGGGTAACCAAGGGTAAGATTGGAATTGGAAAACTTAATCTATTCTAGGAAGGGATTCTATGAAATCATGAATGCGATAATCACTCTGTTGTAGAAGACAAATAGCGATATTCATTGAAAATAGTTTCATCAGCACACTTTATAAGCTTTGACATACGGACAACACGCTAGATGAACTTAGTTTCATGTATCTATCATAACCTTTAAAATAAGGTTATGAAACTGAGGAAAATGGTTTCATCAGTACACTGACAACAATTCTGCTGAACTATGTTTTTATGAACTTAGTTTCATGTATCCATGACACCATTAAAATAAGGTCATGAAACTGATGAAAAATGGTTNGTATCCATGACACCATTAAAATAAGGTCATGAAACTGATGAAAAATGGTTTCATCAGTACATTGACAACAATTCTGCTGAACTATGTTTTTATGACTTAGTTTCATGTATCCATCTCACCTTTAAAAGCATGTTATGATTCTGATGAAGATGGTTTCATAGAAATGGGTTGGTTACGGTGAGAATGAAAATTACGGTGAGAAGGGTAAGAAGGGATCTCCAACCTTGGATCAATCCTGATTGAAGAGAACCACTAGATCAACAGTAACGAGATACACTAGACCAATTCCCTTATAAAGCGCAATTCATAGGTTGTTTTGGGATTAAAAGTGATCAAGGGTCCAAATCCCTTCTTACATTTGTGTCACCTTAACTCCTATTCTCACACGATCCTTTGTCTTATAGAAATAATATAGAATATATACATAAAGACCTCTAACAACAAAGAGATTATGAGTTCAAGCATCATCAATTACAAAGATGATAGATATAAAATGTCAGTAAGCAAATGGTATCCATGTCATACAATGACATTGGACATTTAGGCATTGCTAGAAATGGTTCTTTTGAAATCATTATTTCCTTCTTATAGACTTCATTTCCTGTACATTGCTACAAAAAGCATAATCATTTTATAAGCATATCATTTTTAAAACAAGAGGTTCTTTGAAAATAAAGTTTGTTACCAGAAACTCTCAAGGATTAAGATTACTATTACCTTTGTGGCATTAAAACAGCTCCGGCATGGCCTCCACTTCCTCCAAACTCAACTTTGATGCTTGCCGGTGCAGCAATAGCAGTAACGATACCAATAGAAACACCTTCCAAAGACAAAGTAAATTGACATTTATATATATGAAGCGTAAAAAAGGGCAAGGTAAAGCTATAGAAAAGCATGCAACCTTCATTTTCCAAAATAGGACCTTGTTCTATGTGCAGCTCTACAAAAGCTGAATAGATTCGGTCATCCAAAAACACATTGGAGAAGTCCTCGTTTTTTGCATAACCAGCAGATTTTGCAGCATCCAGGAATGAAATATTGTGATTATCTACCGTCTGCTTAAGAGCTCCAGCAAGCGAGACACTCCCAGCCAATAATCGGCTGAGAAAATTCAGATAATTATAAGAAAAAGACGCTTAATTATTGAGTTTTCTCGACACTTTGTGTTCCAAAAACAAACCTACTACTTTTCATAGTGCAACATTAAATGGATTCTGTTATATAATGTCAAAAGTTGACACAAAATTAGACTATATATATTGCCTAGCTAAAATTTCTACTGTAGTTTGTTAGGATCGAAAACATCCCCAAGGAACAAAGTTATCAAAACCTAACAATCAATAGGGAAAAAGCTTGGAACGAGAAATGTGTTAAATGAACTTATCTAACTGATCACTCAATCTAAAAGCATCAAAGAAATCATTTAAATATGAAAAGCAAAACCAAAAGAAATAATCAACACAAATTTAAGTGAAGGAGAGGAGGGATTTATATTTCACTAATAACGAAATGAGTACAAGGATTGTCTTACTAGCTTCAATCTTCAAATGGATGCTATTAAAATTGCTAAAACCAAAGAGGAAGCAAAAGATCACTTCAAGCGTGAGTTCCAAATCGCAAGAACTCACCCAGGATGCAAATTTCTCCAATGCAACATCCAAAGCGAGGTAACCAAGTCACTTTGCAAGTCACAACATGTACAGAGAGTTGCTCAATTTTTCATGTACAAAGGCTATATATACACAAAGAATATTAGAGGAAAAGGAAAGGATTCCTAAGATCTTCACAGCAGCTAATTACAAGGAGATATTACCCATAATCTCCAATTCCTATTTTACAATGATATCGAGTATCTTTAAGGATACTGAATATTTCTACACCCCCCCCCTCAAGCTGGGGAATATATATTGATCATTCCCAACTTCAAGCATAGATTTTCATATACCGGTCCTTGGGGAGCTTTAGTAAGGATATCTGCAAGTTGTTGTGATGGTGTGTATCCAATACTAATAACTTTGGCCTCAATTTTCTCGCTTGTGAAATGTCGATCAATCTCAATATGCTTTGTCCGATCATGGTGGACCGGATTCTTTGCAATTCTTATAACTGCCTTATTGTCACATGAGAGTTTGATTGACTCCAAAGTTTCAACTTTGAGTTCATCGAGAAGTCTCTTAAGCCACATCCCTTCACATATTCCGTGTGCCATTGTCCTATATTCAGCTTTTGCACTACTTCTTGCAACAACTGATTGTTTCTTACTTCTCCATGTTACAAGATTGCCCCATACAAAAGTACAATAGCCTGAAGTAGACCTCTAGTTAGAGAGACCCATCCCAATCTGCATCAGTGAATACTTTTATACCTCTATCTGAACGTAAAAGCAGTTCCTTTTCCAGGTGTGGCTTTGAGATACCTCAAAATTCGATATGCCGCCTCCATGTGTTCGTCTGTGGAATTGTTCATAAACTGTCTTATAACACTTACTGGAACCTATATCGGGTCTTGTGTGTGAAAGGTGGATTAGTTTTCCCATTAGCCTTTGGTACCTTCCTTTGTCTACTGGAATCCTGTCTTGCTTGATAATTGGGTAATAGACCCTTGTAAGATACAAAATTATTTATATGATGTGAAGTACAGGTCCGAACCCCCTTTCTTAGAGCAATAGGAAGATCTAGATTATCAGCATTAGTAGGCTCACTAGGACACATACCTTGAGATTCAGAAGCTGGAATTGGTTGAGACTCGTGGCACTGCTCAGATTGTACGACCTGTACTTCCTTGTCCTGCTTCCTTTTCCTGGGGTAGACTAGGGTTTCCTTTCGAGGGTTGAGGTGCGTATTTTCTATTGGTTAGGATCGGTTGAAGGATGTGTGAGGTTAGTTTGGGCCGGTTCAATTTCTAGCACATACGGGAAGAGAGTTTGATCTTCTTTGGGTTTTGGAAGAGATTGGAGGAAGAGATTGGATTGGGTCGGTGTGAATACCTTCACTTGTGAGAGGGTGTTCAATCATATTCCACCCTGAACATCCGTGTAGTATGGTTTATTTTCAAAGAATGTGACATCCATGGAGGTGAAAAACTTCCGTTCAGAAAAGGGATAGCATTTATACCCTTTTTGGTTTGGAGAACCGAGAAAAATGCATTTTGAAGCTTCGGGGTCAAGTTTGCTTCTTTGATGTGGATGAATATGGACAAAGGTTGTACAATCCAAAAAAAATGGAGGTATATCTGAGACAAGGTGAGTGTTAGGAAATGACTGTAGAAGCCTGGGTTTTAGATTTCAGGACTCAAGATGGCTTTAGGTTTATGAGATAGGCAGAGGTGAGAATAGCATCTCCCCAAAAGTGTTTGGGAACGGTAGAGGTAAAGAGAAGGGAGCGAGCGGTTTCAAAAGTGTCAATTTTTCCGCTTAGCAACCCCATTTTGTTGAGGGGTATCGACACATGAGCTTTGATGTACAATTTGAGAGTGATATTCAGTGACACTTTGATGGATCTGAGTTCCGTTACTTTGGAGCAGCTTCCATTGGCAATTCGAACAAATAAATGTGAGGAGCATGGTTTCAAATCATCAAACAACTGTGGGTTCCGTCATGTGATCTGATGCACCGGAATCCACTATCCAGGTTTGAGATGATTCATTTAAGACTGTAAAGGTTGCTAGTTGAAAAACCTGTTTGAGCAACATTTCCCGAGCTTAGGGTGGAAGAGATTTGAGAGGATGCCATAGTTGATGTTTGGCTACCTGCTGGTTGAACCGAGCCAAACATCTTTTGAAGCATCTCCATTTGTTCTTTTGTTGAATGGAGGAGTCTCGGCCTGAGGAGGATTAGTTGCACACACAAGGTTTCCACGAGTAAATGTCTAATAGTCCCCAATCCCTAAACTAAATGACCAAGTGAACCAACTAATACTCCACAAGATCAGCATCATCAAACCCCAACACGGGTTCATCTCCCTTATTTGGTTGTACGACAACAACTCACGTTCTATTTCTTTTTTAATCTGATTGATATGCGAGTGCAACTTCTGCTTCTTCTATTAGTGGATGTCGACTTCTTCTATTAGGTCACCATTCAGTCTCACGTTTTATTTTAATCAACTAAAAACTGAAAAAAGGAGCCCAAACATGAAACATACAGGATGCGCTAATGCATAGGTGATGCACGCATCGTGTGATGCATAGGTGATGCGAGCGCATCATGGAATCGCAACGCATCAGCCCATCTGATGCGTTTCCTCCGGCGCATCAGAGCGCATCACGCATCAGAGCGCATTATGCGCGCATTTTTAAACCAAGATGAGTGATTCCCTCCTGGATGTGAATTTAAGTGCTGATATGAGGATCCTAGTGCAGCAAGGGCAGATTGGTCAACTTGTAAGGTTGAAGGGAATGTCCCCATCATGACTTTCTTACAGCTTTCTTTTTTTTATGACCCCCAAAAACACCACCTGATTGGAGGTAGTGGTTTGATTCCTAGAATTCGTCCTCGGACTTCATCCAAGTCCTTGTTAAGTCCCCATAAGGAACTTGAATCTCTACCATTTTCTGCATTGTAGCTTGATCTGCAGGATTCATGAACTTCATAAAGATCGAGTTGCTGCCAATGCCTAGTCATTAAGTTGTAATAGGCAATGACAAATAACTCTCCTTGACATAAATCATGGAGTGTGCTTTCGATGGCAATCAGTTCTGCAGTGTTCTCGTTAATGGAACATGTATCTTGGGCAGCCTCCCATATTTCTCGAGTCGTAGAATAGAGAAGAAATTTTTTCCCTATTTCTAGGGTCATAGAGTTAATCATCCATCATCACCATGCTGTTTTCTGATTTCCAGTTCTTGAAACCGGGCTTATCAGATTTAGGAGCAGGAACAGCCCCTGTGAGGTGATCGTCCCTTCCTCGACCATGTATGTATAGCATGACCGATTGAGACCATTGAAGGAAATTATGGCCATTTAGTTTATGACCAGTAATTGGAAGGGAACTCTCGAGTTTCCTAGAGAATTTGGATGAGAAGTCTTTGAATTGTAGATGACTTCTGAGTGGGTTTGGGAAGAGGATTTTGTGCCAATCATAATGATATTAAGGAAGGTGAGAGGACAGCGACAACAAGGGGACTGTGGAGCTCAGTGTTGTTGCTTGATCGCTGTTGTGATTGCAAAACAGCAGAAAGAGGAGAGTAGTCTGGTACCAAAGAAGCTCTGACACCATGTGGAATTCTTTTTATTTCACTTGTCTCAGAAGAGGGAGGTATAAAGGCTATATATACACAAAGAATATTAGAGGAAAATGAAAGGATTCCTAAGATATTCACAACAGCTAATTACAAGGAGATATTACCCATAATCTACGATTCCTATTTTACAATGATATCGAGTATCTTTAAGGATACTAAATATTTCTAAAGCAAGTTCCAATCAAACTTGTCAACACTGTACCGAGAACATCCTGCCTTGCACACACCAAAGTTGTTAAAGGCTCAATACGCACTTAGGCGCAAAGGGTTCCCGGTGCCTAGGCATGAGGCACGACCTCAGGAACGTGAGGTGCATCTTATAAAAAAGTATATACACACACAGTTATACACAACTCAAATCTATAGCAAGTACTCCAGTGCGGCAACCAGCAGTACTTCGATAGAAGCTTAAGGGAGAAGGGTTTAAAGCGTGAGCCATGAGCGAGAAGTATTAAGGTCTGGGTATCTATAGAGATAGAGGCTTGAAGTTATAAGAACTGGGTATTTAATATTAGGATTTGACTTATGTCATGTATTTAGTAACTCTTTTTTAAGATGTCTAGGAGATAAGAAGATGAGAGAACTTATTTAATATTGGGGTTTGACTTGGTATTTAATGACTCTTTACAGGGTGCACCTAGGCCCACAGGAGTCCCAGCCAAGGCATAGGGCCTTAGTTAGCCTCATGAATACGCCTAGCCGCGACTTTAAAAAAGCCCAAGAACTTGAGCCTTATAAGCCTCAGAGCCTAGAGGTGCGCTTTTAACAACTATGGTTAACACAACTTGCTAAGCAAGCTGCAAGTCATGTACAGTGTTCCTCCTTAAGTTTCGGATCACTAATTTCAACATAGCTATCCATAGTTCCTAAAAGTTAAACAAATCATAGCAATTATCAAGTTGAAATCAACTATATGACATTCAAAGTCAAAGAGTATCAGCTTGTTCTAGAATGAAGGGCCTGTTAACATATTCATAGTGTTTGACTGTCTTCTATTGTTTAACTAACGAAATATAAAATGATGAAAAAACAGAATAACAATCAAATGGAGGTACAAACCTTCCCAAACAGCTGATTCCATATCTTGTAGGCTCTTCTGAGGTAAACATGATTACCTCCAACGACCTTTTGGGCTTAAATCCATATCTGTATATTCCAACACATTTAGATACAAGCACAACTTTATATGGCAAAAAAAAATGCATTGCAAAGAGAAGACCCCTCCAAAATGGTAACTTCTAAAATAATATTTATGTTTCTAAATAATTATTTTAAGCATTAAATAGTAAGAATGCATTTAATTCGGTGTCCTCAAATTCTTTCTGGATTTTTTTGAAGAAATTTTTTCTAGATCTGAAAATGGACTCACTATTGGGACAGGGGGATTGTCAAGGTCTTTACCAAGCCACCAACTCTTCTTATCCCAACACAACATGTTTAATGTATAACTAAACTTTATTTTCTTGTTTTGCAAAATGATGACTTGCATGCTATAACTAATAAAATGAATGTTGCACACACAATCCATGGACAATTAGGAACCAAAAGCATGCTTAGATAATGTATAAAGTTCATACCTACAATTTATCATACCAAAAGAAAAACATTGCAAAATTTTCAAATCTCGCAAACTTAATTACAAATAATAATAATAAAATCATGTTGGAACAGATTGCTATGTTTACATACATAGATATACACATATGCATACACGATAAACTACTTTTTTGGAATCCCGCAAGATAAATAGTCCCTGTAAGGAGATTTCTCCATAGAACAACATATTTGTTCCATTAGATGGAGGCTAATGTGTGGGATAGAGCTTCCACAAAGCTCTGTTTTCCATTTGGAGATTCCACAAATGCAATTCTACACACACACACATATACATATATAGGGGTATAGTCAAACAAGAACTCCATATATTGTGATAACCGTGAGAACTTTTACCTTAAGGTATTGTTTCACATATTTTTTTCATCGAAGTCTAGTATTTAATGTGCTGACTAAATACATTTGTTTCCTGTTAGAATGTAAATACGGTATATATTTACTTAGGCCCATTAAGCCCATGGACCCTTAGGATTTCTCTTTTGTCTAGGTTTTCTTCTATATATATCCTTGTATCCTTTCTTTGTAATATGCAAGTTAAAAGCAATAATATGATCCCTGATTACATGGTATCAGAGCTCGGTTTCGTAACAATCACTAGTTTCACAGATCGAAATTTTTTGGTACGTTTTTTTCCTCAGATCGAAATTTTTATTCATCGTTTTTTTCTTGATCGACAAGTTTCCTTGGGTCGGAAGTTTCGTCGGTTTCTTTGGCACCCTGTGAGTGCAATTATCCTCATCTCTGTTCGTTGGCTATTTGGCACCCTGTGAGTGCGTCATTCGCACTCTGGTTTGTTATCCTTCGTCCTAAGTTCTACGTTCTCTCTTCTGGTTCGTGATTTGGAAGATGGCTGGAGAAGACAAAACATCTAACAGTAACAGTAGTTTATGTGTATCTGAGATGCTTCCAGTAGATGTTAAGCTCACCGACAAGCTTAATGGCTCCAACTACTATGAGTGGAGCAAAACTATTCGTATATATCTCTGGAGCATGGGAATGGCTTCTCATCTCACATCGGATCCTCCTAAAGGTAACGGTTTTGATTCATGGTTCCAAAGTGATGCTCGTTTGTACTTGCAAATTATCAATACTTTTGAGCCTTTTGTTTCGACTCTGGTTAGTCACTGTGAATATGTGAAGGAACTTATGGATTATCTTGATTTTTTGTATTCTGGACAAAGCAACATCTCTCGAATCTATAGTGTTTGTAAGTCCTTTCATCGTGGAGAACAACAGGACCGATCACCCACTACGTATGTCATGGAATTTAAGAAAGTGTATGAGGAGCTTAACTCTCTTCTTCCATTAAAGTGTATGAGGAGCTTAACTCTCTTCTTCCATTAAGTGTTGATGTCAAAGCCATGCAGACTTCGAGAGAACAAGTGGCTATTATCAGTTTCTTGACTGGTTTGCGACCAAAATTTGACTCCATCAGATCTCAGTTCTTGAATGAATCTGTCATTCCTTCTCTTTAAGAAGCATTTGCCCGTGTTCTTAGAAATGAGAATCTTTAGGCTTCTTAAATTTCTGATCACAACAGTGCTCTAGTTGGTCGAGGGGGATTTCGTGGTGGCTACCGAGGAGGATTTCGTGGGGGTCACCGCAGTGGCTCTAGAGGTGGCCACAATGACCGAACAACCGACTCAAGGGCTACTATTCCAGATTTTGATGATGTTGGGCGTTACTACTGCCACGAGTTAGGTCACGCCAAGCGCACATGTAAGAAGCTTTTTGCCAGACATCCGAGGAGTTCGTCAGCGCACGTTGCCTCTACCTCAGATAGTACTGTTACTATACCCGCAGAAGAATATGCTCAACTTTTAGGGACCGGGAATTCCACTGCTCAGACTGCTGCATTTGCTGAGATAGGTAACTCTAGCACATGCCTATTAGGTGCTTCAGATCACATGACAGGTAATCCCACCATTTTCTCTAATTTCAATAAACACAAATCCCCATCACATGTCACAATTGTTGACGGGTCTACCTGGTTCTGGCACCATCGATCTTGCCATGTATGTTTCTTTATCTTCCGTATTGAGCCTACCTAATTTCTCATTCAATTTGTTATCAATCAGCAAAATTACTCGTGCTTTAAATTGTTGTCTCATTCTTTCCTGATTTTTGTGTCTTTCAGGATACGTCGACGAAGAGGATTATTGGTAGAGGGCGGGAGACTGATGGCCTATACATATTTGAACATTGACTTGTTACAACTCATCATCTCCACTTGAAGTTCATTGTCGATTAGGTCATCCATCTTTACAGAATTTGAAGAAGTTGTGTCCAGAGTTTTCTTATTTACCTTCTCTACCATGCGAGTCTTGTCAGTTTGCCAAACATCAGCGTATTCATTTAAGTCCTAGAGTCTGTAATAAGCAGGCCTCATCCCTATTTGAGTTAGTCCATTCTGATGTTTGGGGACCATCAACTGTTACTTTAAAACTTGGGTTTAAGTATTTCGTTACGTTTGTTGATGATTACTCTCGCACTACTTGGCTTTGCTTCATGAAAAATCGATCTGAGGTATTCACACATTTTTGTTCACTCTATGCTGAGATTAAAACCCAGTTTAAAGTCTTCATTCAAACTCTTCGTAGTGACAATGCAAAAGAATATTTGTCGCAAACATTTCAGTCATATATGATTCAAAATGGCATTCTTCATGAGTCTTCATGTGGACACACCAACCCAAAATGGGGTTGCTGAACGAAAGAATCGTCATCACCTAGAGGTGGCTCGGGCTCTATTATTTCACATGACTGTTCCTAAAGTCTTCTCGGTTGATGCGGTTGCTACCGCTTGTTTTCTTATCAACCGAATGCCTTCCATTGTCTTGGATGGTAAAAGTCTTTTCTCAGTTCTGTTTCCACAAAATCATTGTTTCCTGTCGACCCAAAGATCTTTGGTAGTTCATGTTTTGTCCGCGATACCCGACCTCACATAACTAAGTTTGATCCAGTCTCTGAATGTCTCTCTTGGTTACTCTCGACTTCAAAAAGGGTATAAGTGTTTTTCCTCCCTATGCTTAATCGATACATTGTATCACGATACGTTACATTCCATGAGAATATACCCTTCTTTCCTATGACCATTCCTTGCAACCCAAGAGATAGTGATGATTTGTTGGTGTATACCATACTTGTTCTTGAGTCTACTACCCCATCCGACTAGACACAGACCCAAGAGCCTACTGAACCACCGATAGTTCATGTATATAATAGGCGGCAACGACCTACATCAGATCCCAACCCAACACCATCTTCATCATCATCATCATCATCATTGTCGTCAGCCTGAGTTGCCCTATCTGATACAGTAGCTTCCGAGCTTGATGAAGCTGTGGAAGTACTATCAGTTGTAGTATGGCGCTGATCAGAGTCTCCCCTCTCCAAGCTACCCCTCTCAATCACATTTTCCCTCTGCTCAAGACCCTGTTCAGGTACCCCTTGTACCTGAACTCTTGAACTTCAGTGTGCGCTCTTATTCGTTGCATTTTGAAACACAGGCCAATTTCACTTGCTTATCTGGCCGGAATTTCTTCGTTGGCGCTCATCATTGCTTTAATAATCAGTTGAAGAAATCTCTGAAATGGTACGAATTTCATAGCCTTTGAAGGAAACCTTTTCGCATTGACCAACTCCATTAGTTCATTCCAGATCACTAATGCAAAATCATAATGACGGTTGAAGACGATTCCGTGGAAGAATTTGAGAAATGGACTGCTGCACGTACCGATTCCGGCAGTTTTTGAAGTCAAACACCGGTTGAGTATAGAAAACAGCAAGTGCCACACGGAGGATAGAAACCGTCTTCTGAAGTGTGACGGATTAATTAACTATTGCGAGTATCCTAATCGTCTGATATCTCGGCATAGCTCTTCATCAGTGATGAATTCGTCAAATTGTTGTGATCCAGAGGCAGTTGGGCTTGGCAATCTAAAATTCTTCTCAACGTTTTTAAAGTCAAACGACTCATGAAGTCGTCTACATTCCCTTCAAAGTAAAATAGGTCTCTATCTTTTGACATGGTAAGAGTGTTCCAAAATTGTTGTAAGTAGACCATTGGAACTTCCGCAGTAGCTGATAAGGCATAAGCTATTGGGTGTCCTCGCAGAATTTCAGGAATGATAGGGTATTCGCAAGGCATGTCAAAGTTAAAATGGTGGTTGTTTAGTTTAATGTCTAAGTATAGGTATTGGGGAAAAACGGCTTCATCTGGGATCGGGATATTGTCTGACTGATGTGGCTGGGAAAGGTTATCCGATCTGACCGAGGGGATATGAGTTTCCTCATCAAACCAAAATTTGCCTTGTAATTTGTGTAAAATTGTCATTAGAGCTAATCATTGAAGAATTGAATACAAATCATTTGGGTTAATCTCTCTCTAATTGTTCATCTTTTTCTATCAAGATTTTATCTGATTTGGTGATTGATTGGGACGAACAGGTACCCTCCATCCGCCTGTCTATTTCATTAGCCGCTACTTACGACTGGGTACTACACCAACCGGATGTGAAAAATGCCTTCTTGCATGGTGATTTACATGAGGAAGTCTATATGGAGCAACCACCTGGGTTTGTTGCTCAGGGGGAATCTGGTAGAGTCTGTAAATTGCGTAAATCATTGTATGGTTTAAAGCAATCCCCTCGTGCTTGGTTTGGACGATTTAATGTCGTAGTGACTGAATTTGGCTTACGGAGGAGCTCTTGTGATCATTTTGTGTTCTTTACTTCGTCATCTTCCGGATGTATTCCACTAGTGGTATACGTTGATGACATTGTGATTACTGGGTGTGATGAGACTGGGCTCAAGAAGCTAAAAGATTTCCTTGCATCTCGGTTTCAAACAAAGGACCTACGTCCTTTAAAATACTTCTTGGGAATTGAAGTATCTCGTACTCGGAAAGGGATGTTTGTCTCAATGGAAATATTGTCCGGATATATTGAATGACTATGGTATGATTGGAACAAAACCTTGTGAGGCCCCAATTATTCCAAATATGAAATTGAAAGCGGACGATGGAGATCTACTTGAGGATCTAGAAAAGTGCAGAAAAATTGTGGGAAAGCTAAACTACCTGACGATTACACGTCCTGACATCGTTTTTCCAGTGAGTGTAGTAAGTCAATTTATGTCATCTCGGAGAACTCCATATTGGGACGTTGTTAGGCATATACTAAAGTACCTAAAGGGTGCTCCTGGTCTTGGTATCCTTTATCAAAATCATGGTCATCATGTCATAGAAGGGTTCATAGATGCCGACTATAATGGGGATCCTACTACTAGGCGGTCTACRACAGRCTATTGTGTGTTGGTTGGAGGGAATCTAGTTTCGTGGAAAAGCAAGAAACAGAATGTCGTTTCTGTCAAGTGCTGAATCGAAATACAGGCCTATGGCCTAAACCACTTGCAAGCTGATATGGTTGGCGTAATTTGCTACGTGAAATTGGGTTTGCTCAATCTAAACCAAAGAACCTATATTGTGATAATGAGGCGGCTATCCACATTGCAAACAATCCCATGTTTCATGAAAGAACAAAACACCTTGAGGTTGACTGCCATTTCATTCGTGAAAAGCTAGAAGATTGAATCATCTCAACTCCCTTTGTTCGAACAAGAAGACAACTTGCTGATGTCTTTACCAAAACATTACCTGGTTTGTGAATCTCTTTTATTTGTAACAAGTTGGGCATGATGAACATCTATGCTCCAGCTTAAGGGGGATTGTTAGAATGTAAATACGATATATATTTACTTAGGCCCAATAAGCCATGGCCCTTAGGGTTTCTCTTTTGTCTAGGTTTTTTGTCTATATATATCCTTGTATCCTTTATTTGTAATATACAAGTTAAAAGCCATAATATGATCCCTGATTACATTTCCCATTGTGTTTGCTTCATATGTATTTGGTTCACAAGATGAAACTTTTTTACATGTATTTTTTTTGTTTCATAAACATGCCAAAAAGGTTTACATTGTGAACCGAGTACATGTGAAACAAATATACGTTGATCAATACATTAAATCCTAGTCATAGATGGAAAAAAATAATATGAAATAGCTTAAGTTGCACCAGTTCTCTCACAATTTTGTGGGTTCTCAAAGGAAGGGTTGAACACCTTCAATTTATGAAAACGGGAGAACACTCTTCTACCATAGTCAATCACACATGTGATAGTGAATCAGAGACACATAAACCTTTGGCCCGCACACGACCAGGTCCCCTCATTTGTATTATCACATGTGATAAGGGTGTTCTTGTATTTTCGTAACATGAAGTTGTTCTCGTTGGAAGCTCCACCTATATATATAATGTTTAGAATTTGTTCTTACCTCTTTAGTACATTTATGGCTTCAATTGCACCCAATACACCAATTACCCCATCATATTTCCCTGAGTATGGAATAGCATCAATGTGAGAGCCTGTTGAAACAACAGATAGATCTGGTTCACTGCCTTTCCTGTATAGAAGCAAACAAGATGAAAAATCAACTTTTAGAGCTACTTGGTCGTGTTTGGGAACACAAGTAGTAAATGAAAATGAGTCCTCTCTCTCTAGAACCGCTTTCCCAAACTCTTCATCTCCCCGTCCTTTTGTAGCCTCTGGCTACTGGCTTTGGGAAGGCGAAGGGCAACTTCCCCCCACCCCTAACTCTCTTCTTGCAAATCCTATGGTCTTTATCTATTTGACCAACTCTATTTCGGTTTCTCTTCGTTAGAACATGTTATGGTTCTCTCATTTTTGTAATTATTCATAATTTAGGGTTTGTTATTAAATATCAATAGGTATATAATGTTTCCTTCCCTTCCTTGTTTTCTAATTCACTTCTAAATCAATATAGAGAAAACCCGTAGCCAACAATATGAAGATGTCCTTCAGATTCTCACGTATCATAAAGGCACTTAATTTAATGACCTATATTTCTCATCTTCATCCTCCTTGGAACTTCGAGATTATTCAGATGCTAATTGGGATGGCTTGACTGATTGTGGCTCTATTATCGAGTATTGTTTTTTTCTTGGCAACTCTCTTATATGCTAATGCTATGTTGTTACAGCGTCAAAATTCAAAATAATGGTCACAACTGTGGTTTAATATAGCCGTTATTGCGATGGTAAAGTGGTGGTATAGCGGTCCATATGACAATTGGCAGTATATATATACATATATAAGTTAATATAGTATATATGTATCCAAGAAAAAGATACAATTTAAACATCAACTTAAACAAGTCAAGTTTCACAAAAACGAAATAGCAAAAGAGTTTGTATAATTCATGAACCCGTTGATAGTTAAACGAAAGTTGTAGATTCCAAAGGTTGGGCTGGTAAATCAGTTGACTTTTGTCCACATGAAACAGAGGAAGAACCAAGAGAAGCCTTGTCATGGTCGTCATGGAATGTAGAAGAACCTAAAAAAGCTTGTCGAGATCCTCTTGGTAAAACTGGGAAGAACCGAAGAAGCCAAAAGTGAAAAGATTGTCGTATTTAGCAAATAGTGCCTATAGCACCACAATTTTTGCTACTTCTAAACCAAATAGTGGCCGAATATCGTTATTTTTTTTTTGTAAGGGTGTCCGAGCCAAAGCCCGACTAATCCCCGGCAAATTTGGAGGCTAAACATGGCCCCACTTAAATGTCGCCAACACTCCCCTCCCAGGGCTCGAACTCGGGTTCATGACTATGCCAAGCCCAAGCCTTAACCACTAGGCTGGAAGGTCATTGACCGAATATCGTTATTTACGGGTGCTAATAGCTGGACTGCCGTTTTGACCGTCATTTTAACGCTGCTATTTATCCCAAGACTGCAAACCGCTACAACACCGCTAAAGTGGCATGGTAAACAACATAGCTTATATCATGGCACCCTAAGAAATAGTCTTTAACTGCTCTATCCAGTACTGATCCAGAGTATCTTGCACTTGTTGATGCTACTCAAGAACTTGTTAGGCTTTGATGACTCTTATCCAACATGACTGTTGAATAGCATTCTCCGATTATCATCTGTTGTGACAACCACAGTGCTATTCAGTTTGTGCATCAGCATGTGGTTGGCAAGATGTCCAATCTTTTTGTTTCTACACTAATCAACGAGCTAATGTTTTCACTAAAGGACATATTCTGGGGCGTTTTCAGACACTTATTTTTAAACTCAATTTGGTCGTCCCTAAACCATATTGAAGTTTGAGGGGAGCGGGTGTTTGAATATGTTATAGTTCTCTCACTTTTGTAATTATTCATAGTTTTAGGTGTGTTATGTAAATAGCAATAGGTATGTAATGTTTCCTTCCCTTCATTTGTAGTTTATTTCTAAATCAATAAAAAGAAAACTTGTAACCAACGGCTAGCTTCAATCTATGATCATCTTCACCATTGTTGAATTGATTCTGATCTACTATCAAATCTAACACTCCCGGGTTTTCTTTTCTTATGAATTTCCTTTTGGCACTGTTTGTTGGGTTTTTGGCTTTCTCTAGTCATCATTTCAATTCATATGTAATGGTTTAGGTGGAGGTTTCATAAGAGATCTCAGCCGGGTGGTGTTTCAATGATGGCGTTCTTCTTTGACATTGGCTTTACGAAGTTGTCTCAAGTGGTTTGTTAAGGGGTCGTCAAGGCGGCATTTCAAGTGGCAGTACTAGTGCAGGCCAACTCTCCAACCACTTCCTCCTAGAATCGATGTCGTACACCACAAGTCTCAATCATTGTTATTGTTTATCCTAGGTCTATCTTCACTACCTATAGACCATATACAGAAAACTCACCACCGACCAAATATGTTGCCCACAGCATCCTCCCTGACAGAGAGGCCAGCATGTGCCATCAAGTTTTTGATGAACCTACATAAAAATTGACGAGGATTAAACGCAAAAGAGATTTAAAAAGAAAATCTACATAAACAGTATAAACACAAGAAAAAAGTGTTGGCAAATGTAACAATCAAAAAATTAAATACTAAATTATAAGGTATTAATATGCAAATTACAACATCTTGACCATCTCTTGCTAGCATTTTCATTTCCTCTTGAGTTCTCGTACATTTATGCAGTTATGGCTAGATATCTCATATCTAGGGCTGTAAACGAACCGAACGTTCAGCGAACCGTTCGTGAACTGTTCGGCGGGAAGTTCGTTCATGTCCGTTTATTTAATAAATGAACGAACATGAACAAAGTTTTTTGTTCGTTTAGTTAGACGAACGAACATGAACAAGAGTCTCGTTCGTTCATTTATGTTCGTGAACGTTCGTTCATTTACGTTCGTTCATTTACGTTCGCTTATTTTCGTTCGTTTATATATTAATTTTAATATATACTTCTATTTATTTAGTTTGAATTCAAATTTTAAAAAGCCTTTTAAGTATTGGGCCTTTTAAGTGTTGGTATATTAACGATGGTTGATGAATGGTGATTGTTTTGTGTATGTTTAAACTATGGATAATTGGTGAGTAATAGTTAATTGAATGACAAGTATTTGTGTTCGTTTAGACCTGTTCGTTTATGTTCGTTTAGGTTTGTTCGTTTATGTTCCTTTAACCCGTTCGTTTATGTTCGTTCGTTTATGTTCGTTCGTTTATGTTCGTTCGTTTACGTTCGTTTAGCATGTTAACGAACGAACATAAACGAACACGAACACACCTGATTTCTAAATGAACGAACACGACTCGTGTTCGTTCATTTGTTCAGTTAAGCTAAACGAACGAACATGAACAAGTCTTTGTTCGTGTTCGTTCGGTTCGTTTACAGCCCTTACTCATATCCAACACTCAAATTTTTTAATTATAATCTAGATCAATAAACAATTAGCCTAATTGCAACAAGTTTGATGGATACAATCAACCTCACCAAATTTCATATATTAAACATCAAGTTATGGTGGACCACTCCGCTCAGACAGGATATTGTTTGGCAAATTATAAAATGTAACACCAAAGGTTTGTGTTTCTTCAAAATAATAACCACTTTCCCCATTTAGTTTATGGATTGTTCATTCTATAAATGATTATATACATTTTCACAACCCAACTTGTTCCATTCTTGTAAAGATCCCTACTGGTCATATTTTGTGCATATCCAAACTATATAACTTCAAGTAGAGAAATAGTTATATAGAGAAAGCAGTGGAAGATGTTTGCATAAAGTAGTATGGTAAAAAGTTGTTCATTCGAAAGTTCAAGGTTTTATAAATGGCTTGCCACGGTATTTGAGAACAAGTCAACCAGTTTGTTCTTGGGTTTCACTTTCACCTGTTAGTATATATCAAAGGCAAGAAATGACTTGATGTTTAATCATGCCATTACCTGTGCAAAACATTAGTCAAAACCATAAAACATAAAGGTATGAAATTTATGGAAGCTGCCAATTTGGTTAGAGCAAGGTGTCTTCAGGTATGGTCAGTTAACCCTTTAACACTAATCATGAGATCCACTAATTGTTTCAATGTTTGGTTGGTTCCTTTTTGAAGGACATTAGCTATGCAGTTAATAGAGCGCAACAGCGGTGCTATAGTGGCGAAATAGTGGTCCTTGACTAAATAGCAGTCCATAAAATGCGGTGTATTATAGCAGTACCGCAAATAGCGGCCACTATTACTGCTAATGACTGCCATTTTGACCCCAAATAGCGGTCACAATTTCTAATGACTGCTAATTTAATTTTTTCTTTAAGAGGCCTCTATCTAGGGCTGTTTTTAAAGTCTTTATAAATCCTCTGTTTTGGATTACTATTTTTCTTTTGGGCTTTTTTTAGGGGCCTCTATCTAGTGCTTTTTTCTTTTGGTATGTTTTGGTTGTGTCATTTGGTAGGCTATGTAGAGTCAAACTTAGGCCTGCCAACAAAAAGAAACCAATTAGGTCAACAAAAAGTAACTGCTTAAATCTACAAAAAAAAAAAACAATTAGGTCAAACTTTGGTATCAATTCCAAGTCCAAAACTCTGCTCATTGATTCCAAGTCCAAAACGCTTCAACAACTCGAGTTTTCTTCTTGATTAAACCGTTTGATTCCATGGTTCCACGGTTTTCTCATACGTTTTTGTGTGGTTTGAATTGTTTGACTTAATATGTATTAGGCATACAGCATTTTATGTTTTATATATATTCATATTTATTTTATGAAAGTAATTGTTTTACTGCTATACCACAACGGTAACCGCTATTTCAAATCATGGACCCGACCGCAATTTCCGCAACCAACCGCTTTAATTGCTTACTCATGTTACCCTCTTGGTCAGTGTACATCCCCCCCCCCTTCCCTCTTTATGGCGGGAACCACAAATCCGTGTGAAAATACAGGGCTCATTTGGTCTGGTTTGGTTTATCTACATCTTACCAAAGCATTTTGCTCACTAAAAGCAAAACAAACACAACCTTAGCAGGTCACAATTAGACTAAAATAAACGCATCAAAACAATATTTAATGAACTTAGTTTATGTTTTAAGAGTTATAACTAGTAATTTTACGACTTCCATAGTTTGATATAGAATTAGGTGTTTTTTTATCATGAAATTTATGAATAACTTTGTTTTTTATTGTTGACGCGTTAGTCGCGGTCTGCCTAGAAGCTTATGCCTCATGGTACTATGGATAAACGCCTCCTTGGTCTCACACTAGCAGGAACCTTGAGGAATCTGTGTCAACCAAAGCCCTACTTCAAGCCAACTGTTTTTTAGAGGCTTAATGAGCTTAACGGGATTCACAGCTTATTGATCAGCTATACATGACTATTTGGTAGTGGCTTAATGATGTACAAAGTGACTTATTCAGTAAGCTTCCAGGGGAGGGCTTTATGCAGAAAGCCAAGCTTTTCCAAACATGTCCCTCCCAATTGAAAAAACGCTTCTTCCATCTATGAAAAACTCTCCCAAACAAAAACCTTCTCAATCTATACAAACAGATTAAATCATTCAGACAGTTTTATCCGTACAGGACTTAATGGAAAACCAACCAAACAGCCCCTGAGAATACTAATCCTTATTCAACCAAAATAAAAGATAACAATGTGCAATGGATTATCAATTTCAACATAGACATGAAAGCTGATCTACAATCATATATAACAATTCCCAGATGTCAAAATAGGGAAAGCATCATTTCTAGAAGAGAAGGCTTATTATCATATACCTTCTAGCCAGTACATCATTTTCGCTGTACAAGATCCTTGTTACCGAAGGGGCTGGTGAATCCGAGAAACTTGACAATTCATCAATCTTTGATTTAAACACATCAAAATCATCAGCTTACGATAATAGAATAACTAAACATAATATTACACTTCAAATTTTAGTTTTGCAATTGATCAAAATCGTCCAACTTTTAACGTGAATAAGAAAACAGCTTCAATTAACAATTTCAAGAATATTCGATAACTCATGTGACCATCAAAAGGCAAATATATAATTATTTCGAAAAGAACGAGTATTGTTGCTACTACAACCCACCCTTTGAAAATCTTCAGTTCGCCATTACATAAATCTATGATGAATCGAAGCAGGATATAAAAACCTACCTGTTTCTGAAGATTTAGAGAATCCACCGAGAATGAGGAGATGGAGAGAATTTCATGAAGTGGGTATCCAGAGTGTTCCTCCATGGTTTTGATTGTTGGGTCTCTTTCATCGACATTTTGAGCTTGTATGAAAACGATGAAGGTAAGGAGAAGAAAATGAAGTATGAGAGAGAATCTAAAAGCCATAGTTGTTGCCACTGGTGCGTTTTGGTGGTTTACATATCAGTCAAGGAGTGGAGAGCTGAATCCGACTCCATTATTCATAGGGTTTCATCACACACATGTGGAGCAGCAGATGATGACAACAAACTGACAAACTGCAACGAATAACTTTGCTTCAAATAAAAAAGGTTGCCTTTTCCTTCGACAAATAAAATATAATTTGCAATCTAGGGGTATTGGTTTGGGTTGTACGGTTTTTAACATTTTTACTTAATTTAATTACGACCACACTTGCGGGTTAAGATGAGTTGGATTCGTGGATTACTAAAATTAATAAATAAAATATAATAAATAATATTAAAAATATATTCAACAAAGTTATTAGTTATTACAATCGTTTAAAAATATATCTAAATTCTTAAGTCTTGGAATCAAATGTCAAAAGTTTAAATAATAGCATGTGATTCAAATCCTCAATCAAGTACGACCGTTTTGGACTTTCTCGATTTTGATGTTGCATTTTCCTTGAGTTTGTCTACAATCAAAAAGAATATTAAATCATTTATTAAAAATATGTAAGCATGAAAAAAGAACCATTGTTAAGTTCACATTCTTTAAGAAAGTCATAAAATGCAATTTTATCCAAAAATTCACTTATTTGAATCCCCTCATTATTCTCTTTCAACCAACTTTATGTGCATACAAGGGTCTCCACCATTTTTGAATTCAAAGAGCTTCTAAATGTGCATACAAGAAAGTCATAAGATGCAATTTTATCCAAAAAGTCACTTATTTGAATCTCCTCATTATTCTCTTTCAACCAACTTTATGTGCATACAAGGATCTCCACCATTTTTGAACTCAAAGAGCTTCTAAATAAGTCTAAAATGCGACCACTTGTAGTAAAAGCGAATTCAGATGTTACGGTAGATATAAGTATAGCAAGAACATTTCTAGCTATCATAGACAAAATACTATACCTATTAGCATTATCTTTCCACCAAAGTACTACGTCAAATGATGGAGTCTTTGGATTGATTTTGAGTATTGGTTCTACTGGATTTGACCTGGACAATAGTTGGATTAAGTTTGGACTATAAATTGGACAAGTGATACGTGTATTTAATTTTTGGGTTGTACATTAGACTAAAAAATATACATAACTTTAGGATGTAAGTTATAATTTTGTAAATATCATATATAGACTTGGGATCATGTGAGACCAGCTTGTTTTCGTGAGACCCGTGAGACCAACATTTTACACTTGAAACTTCACAGCAAAAATGCTGTGAAGGTGACTTTTTAAAACCTTCACAGTGTTTTTGATGTGAAGGTTCGACTTCTTAAAACCTTCACAGTGTTTTTGCTGTGAAGGTTCGACTTTTTAAAACCTTCACAGTGTTTTTGCTGTGAAGTTTACGTGTAAAAACGTGGTCTCACGGGTCTCACGAAAACAGGCTGGTCTCACGTGAACCCAACCCATCATATATATATGTATATATACTAGCTTATTAAGCAAATTTAGCAAATGTCTTAAAGTCTTAAAATACTAAATGATCAAAATACCCGTTATACTCACTTTTTCACTTATTCCTCTCCTCACATACACTCACCCCCTCACATACACTCACCCTCTCACAAAGATTTTTTTAAAATTATAATTTTAAATTTACACTTTATACCCCTATAATTAATTAATTAATTTACTTTACGTTCTTTATTTTTAAATGTTTCATTTTAAACTTTTATCAAATTAACATAAATAATCGTATATCAATTAAAACATGTTTAAAAAATACATTTTTATTTTAACAAGTTACACCGTTATAATCGTCTCATTAATACCTTCGAAATGAGTCCAATATTAAATAGTTTTTGACTTAATTATATTATTATATATTATATATACTGTGAAAAATATTTTTAATATTTACGATTTATACTTTTATAGTTATTTAATTATATATATACTATATATTTTGGGGTTATGCTGTTCAAATTGTACTGTATAATATGTTTTGAATTAATATGTTCTTGGGTTTTTTTGAAATATATATATACATGTATTAATTCAACCTTAATCTGAGTTTCTGGACAAGAAAGAGGGTAAGCAGTTGAAATTTCATTCTAAAACCCATCTTTTTTTGTCTTTTCATGGCTTATGATCTGTCAAATTTGTAGTTTTCTTCATTCGTTTTTAGTGTTCATCTTAAAACTCAAGTTTTTAGGTTCTTTGTTTTTGGTGTAAATCGAATACATTTATGGAGTCGTTTAAATATGTTGGACTTTAAATATATTGGATTTTAAATATATTGGATTTTAAACTATCATACAATTTTTTTTTCATCGATAGTCTGTAATTTGAACCATAACTCTTATTTATTAAAATTGTATTAATATGTAAAGATCAAGTGTAACATATATCATCGTTAAATCTTATCTTATAAAACCAGTGGAACTTCAAAATCGTTAAAATTCATGGCTCTCGCCGTATTGCACGGGTACACAACTAGTATATATATATATATATATATACTAGATTCGATCCCGTGTATTACACGGAGTAATTTGAAAAAATTAAATCATATCAGGAACTTATCTTACAGATATGAATGATCATCGAAAGTATGATGTTACTTTAGACTTGTACTCTTGAAATGATTCTGAAGAATGACTCTTCAAACTTGAATTTAGAAGTGAAACTATATCAATAATTAGTTAAAATGAAGTTAACCCTAGAATAAAATTAAATTTAGAAATGAAACTATATCAGTAAGTTTAGAACGACTTTTCACACTTGTGCTATTGAAATAACTCTTAAGTATAACTCTGAAGAATGACTTCATACCTGGACTTGTATTCTTGAAATAATTCTGAAGTAAAACTCTTCAGACTTCAGAGCTCTGTATAATCAATAAAAGTCGACGTCCGCCACAAATCCCCCACAAATCCGTCACTGAATTTAAAAATAAAATAAAATTTTATTTCTACAACTTTCCCGAAGGATTTGTAACGGATTTTTTTACTTATTTAATATTGTCACAAATCCGTCGAAAATCCGTCACAAAATTGGTCTAATTTATATAAATAAATTAATTAGCGTTAATTAATTAAAATTTACGATGGATTTTAATTGATTTTTATATTTAATTATACCTGGTCGGAAATGTTTAAAAAACTTTTTTTATTATTTTCCTTTTCAAAAAAATATGTTTAAAAAAATGATTGTAATTTTCTAATAAAAAGTTATATTCCGTCGGAATTTATTTAAAAAATATATGTCTTATAAGAGAAAATAAAAAACTTTTTTAATAAATTCCGACGTAATATAAGTTTTTGTTATAAAAATTACTATTTGTCGGAAATTTTGAACTTCTTTTAAATATATATTTTTGGAAGGAAAAAAATATAAATAAAACTTCTTTGAACATTACCGACAGATTTCAGATGGAATTTACATTTAGCGACGGGGGTTTTTCCGACGGCAATATCTGTCGGATAGTTGTTTTTTCCTACGGATTTTGCCGTCGGAAAAACCACATTTTTGGTAGTGATCAATCAAATGGGTATAATTGAACTGTTAATGTAAATTGTGTCTAGATACATTCAAATGAGTCTAATTGAACCACTAATGTAAATTGTGTCTAGATACGTGTTTAGGCGGGAAAACAAGAAAACCGCCTCACCAGAAGATGACACGTATCACTCAAGTTACTTATTTATTATAAGTATATATATATATATACACACACACACATACATAATTTGAGGGAACGATCAAATGCAAACCATCCCCTTTTGTGCAAACCCTACAAACCAATCTCATCCATCCATTTTCTTGATCAATAGTCATGATTAAAATGTGTTATATTAGGAAAGTAAAAAACAAAATAAAATAAAAGATTTAATATTTAATCAAGAAAGAGCAAAATGCAAACCATTTTTAACTTTCAGTCATATTGTTCGATCCTTTCCCAATTTCAAACCTCTTTCATTGTGTTGATCGCGTTCAAACAGGAGGAGATCGATACCATTGTGTTCAATCGTTATACGCTTATCAAAAATCTAAATAACATGTTTTTGTCAATGAAGTTCGCTTCATCATTGAAATTGGTTTCATGGACTCCACAATTCCAAAAATTGAATGACATTGTTTCGGCAGTGAAATTTGTTGAAATGTTTCCTAACCAAAATGGAATCAGTTTCATGGTTTCTAACCAAGATGAACTCGGTTTCACATATGAAACAAAATATTGTTCAGCTAATGAAACACTTCAAAAACTGCATAATTATATTTCCTTCATTTTTAAATTTGTTTCATGTTTCCTAACCAAAATGGAATCGGTTTCATGGGTTATAGCCAAGATGAAATTGGTTTCATTAATGAAACCAAATATGGTTCAGTCAATGAACATTTCAAGACCTGAATGTTATTATTTCATTAATGATAGTAGTTTCATGGTTCCTAACCAAAATGAAATTAGTTTCATTTTTTAAACACTTTGAAAACTGTATAACATAGTTTCATTAATGACATTTGTTTAACGAATGAAAACAAAACAATATGCTCAAAATTTAGAAAATAACACGACTATATTATTAATAAATCAGTAACTACTTGGGAAATTGAAAAAAATACCGATTCTTTTGATATTATGACAATGAAATAAATAATTTCATAAGAAATAAATAATTTCATAAGAAATAAATTATTACAAATAAACTTTGTAATTGATGTAGTATTTTTAATTTAATAAAAGAATATAAATTATT